AAGATGATATATTAGGACGCTCGCCAGGTTTGAATCTGGTACAAGCCGAGCGTTCTAATTGCTGTATCTCTGCATATGTGTAAAAGCAGGCCAGGAACGAAAGGGGGTACACGAGTTAACAAGATTGGAGATATATCAAAATTTAGAACATACCCTAAGGCCCATGTTGCTTCTCTAAATGCACCTAATAATTTTGCACGAGAAATTGCAGTGATGGAGTTGGATCTATTGCCAAGAAAATCCAGGGATTATTGAAAATTATATGATCCTACTAAGCTATTTAGCAAGTAAGACCTCTGGGAAGGTCAACAATGACCGCGCAAAATTTTTGGTTGATACTAGCGCCGAAATATTCATCCAGGATATTGCCTTTTCTCAAAAAGAAGGTTGCCAAATTGACGAAAGGGAACGACACGAATGTATTGGCAGTGGAGAATCTGTATTATTATACTATGGAAGGGTGCATTCTCATCAAGATCACCCTAAATGGAAATTTGGTGTACATTTTTAAGGTGTCGGTAGGCCTTATGGTGGATCAAGACGTAAATTGGGCCTGAATTTCATGGTATCAGCCGGTATCGGGCTAGAACTGGCGAACGGAACACTATGTCTCCCCGATGAAGTTCGAGTACAATTATACGGGCGGAGTAAGCTTTATCATAACCGAGTGTTAGACGTGAAGTCGGGTCAATATGCACAGATACCGGCTGGAGAGTACGTAGAAATACCTCTAAGAAAGGTTGACCTCGGAACAGTGGAAAATGTGGTTTACGAGAGAGAACGGTGGGTCACGGCCATGAGTCAAGAATTGAAGCGCCGACAATTTATGAAGGTATCCAACGTCATTGCCCGTATCCTGACGTTGTATGACACTTCCAAGATAGGTATGTTGTGGTTGATGAAGGATCGAGTACCAAGACCATAAGATTTCGTCTTGGTATGATCTCGAAGAACGCTGTATGGCTATCTCTGGCGTACGAATCCACACTGCTCAGGTTGACCAGCAGGTAAACCCAACTGAGGAGGTTGCGAGGCCGCTAGTAGAGACACCGCCGTATGACATCCCTTCAGGCTACTACAGCGTCCAAGGACATTTGTCTTAGTGGTGAGCATGTCGCGCCACAGATGCCCAAAAAGAAGAACAATCATGGGAACCTACGGGAATAGACCCCTCAAGAACGAAGTGCGTCTGAGGATACCCATCATACATTAGGCACCACTTGTATATAGGAAGCCAAACCTGATGACCCACTGCGGGTGTAAATTCGGTTGCTGAGACAAAAGCTTTCTATTCTCTTCCCCCAGAGTGAAGCCATGAGGCAACGAGGCCTGACCGAGAGCAAGTAGCCTGAGTACACAGACGTCCCTCTCTCCACGGAACCGTTTCAAAACGTTTGCGAAGGACTCAAAAATTTGATTTAACTAGCTCGCGGCTTATGAGCTCGTGAATGGCAAGAAGTTGCCGATCCAGAGTCGCAAAACTCAACAGCCACGTAACAACCACTCCTCCCGACACTGCCGCAAGGCAGTGACGGGATCTAAGGGGGCGATCTTGATCGGATCGCAATATTGGCGATCGCGATACAGATCGTTACGTATGAAGTTTTGCAGATCAAGATAGCGGAGGTGGACCAGCACAATTTTAGTGTACATGCCGTAGATACGGCCAATATGCCGACCCCGATTTCTCAGTAAGCGATCGCAATCAAAGATCAGAAATTTGGTGTGAACCACACATCGATCTCAATCTGCACAGGAATACGATCTAACTGGATGTGGACCACACCAAATGAGGAACAACTAGGTACAATTAATCGGCGGCGTTTGGCTTTATAGGTAACAATAATTACGAGTATTATATACAGGGCATACCCTAGCAGACAGACAGGCATCATAAGTTTTTGGTTTTAGGTTAGTGAGTAACAATCTTCGATCATCATTCTATGACAAGCTTAAAACTTTAATTTCCGGGCTAGATTGTTCTGGCCATCCGTCGACACGGAAGGTCGACTACGCGTGGTACAATTGCCCACCATGGATTGTTGCCTAGAGTGCATGGACTTTTTAAAGTAAACGCATATTGGGACCGGACGCAACAACAGCAACAAAACTGATCAACGCAGGTGCAGAACGAATCGAGTGGTCAAGAAAATTCGACAGAATCAGCGGTCAAAAGGTCAGCGTCGGATTGGATTTGAACAAGGGCGATCGCAAGGCAGGTCGAAGCGATGTATACCAAGAGACCCCAATCGCATGAAGATTTCTGCGCGACCGATCTCTCACCAACTTGAGATCTCTTTCTTCCCAAGCCCACCGAGGAAAGCATAACCGCCCATCTAAAACTTACGAAACGTGAGTAAGGAAATTTAAGACATGTATTGGAGTAGTCTTCCGTTAGTCGGCAGTCTTGACCTCGTGAGTGCCAAGTCAGATTTCTTGTCCAGTTTTGTATCGCCGCTTTGCTACAGCTATATGAGCAGCTATGCCTCGGATCCAGTGCTCACCTTTGATGCAATAGAAGTATGGTATGGACAGAAGATGCATTACCACAATTTATTCTGCCTCAGCTAACAAACTTAATGTATAATGAAGCAAATTTACACCGGTAAAATGTTTGTTGGATTGTCGCACGTGTTGTGCTGCTTCTCGCTATGGATTTGTGCATGATAAGATACGAGTGTATACTGTCCATATATATAGCTGTGCGTGCATTCTTAGTGTTCGTGTAGAAAAGATGCCAGTATAAAAGCCGAAAATGCATGTAGAATAAAAAGATACAGATAACGCGTTTTGCACTTGGCGAAGTGAAATGGATGAAAAATGGGGTTTACTCACTTTGTGCAATTAAAGTTTAAGCCGACGACAAAAACGCTATGGTATTTACTTGGGCGTCGGGCTGCAGGCATATGACCTCGTAGCCATAAAAAAACAATTTGTTGTTTTCCATCTTATGGAAAAAAGTAAGGTAGCGTGTGAGTAAGAAACGAATTCGGTCAATACGGCGGACGCAAAGATTTTGCTGATGTTTAATCAGATAATAAATTGTCCGCGACAACAAAACTGTGCCCATCATTTGTGTTTGGAGAAAAGCATAAGAAAACTATTATGGCTGGCTGTCGACAAACCTGATTGGCATAATTGCCAAGCCATCAGCTGATGGCTTCGGTTTTTTGCGGATCTTTCTGTAAGGTCTCCAAAAATGTTGCCGACCTCGTGGCGGTACTTCAAGACGTCGTCACCAACCACGAAGTAGCCTCATAATACCCACGAGACCTGTAAATCTCCTGGCCACATCAGCATCAAGGAGCTTGTGTAAATTTGTGGATGCTTATGTATGGAAGCTGTCACGATATCACGCATACACATTGCACGTTTGAAAAAGCGGTTTGTTGTCTTCTCTCGCGCGCAGCGATGTACTTGCTGGTCGCATGAATGCAGCCTTACTCAACACTCACGTACTCGATCACCAATACGTCGCGGAAGCGGTTATTCCCTCTTCCTGCGCGCAACTGTAGGTTAAGTGGAAGTATTAGACTGATTTCGAATCTAGTTGACTATTGGCATGGGTAATATTCGGACGCGCGATTTGATAGACGCGGTCCACTACGTAGCAAGCTTAGATATATTTTAGCTTAGCTTGTTTTTTTGAATCTGCCAATAATATCCGTGTGAACACACTTAGTGTGTATCACATACTTCTTGGTGGGAGCATTGAAGATGTACTGCACCCAAAAAAGGCAAAGCGGCCTTTTCCACTTTTCATGTTCCAAAGCCCAAAGTAAACGTGTAACTGGGCCGCCATCTTGTTACCGAATCACAGCATACCAAGCGATAGATAAGAAAATATAAACCTGAGCTCCTACAGCTGCTTTCCTTCTACTGCTCAATGTGTCACCAAATTCGATCTACTGCCATCATCATTGTTGTTATCGTTTTCACACTCTTTTGTGTAAATAAATCAATGATGCTCATTGTCCTTTTCTTCTTCTCGCACATTCGTATAGAGAGACACAAATCACGTCTTAGACTCTGTTCTTGCTTAGCAGGTTGTCGACAAGTTCCTTCATCGGTAGATCCTTGACAGACTTCTTGATCGATGCCGCCTCGATAACTTTTGCAGCTATCCTAGAAATGCACAGTAACATCAAAGGCTTGATGCAGGTCGTGTTTGATAGTGACAACAAGAAAAGCAAAACATACAGACAAGAAAGAGCTTAACTACTAAGTTGCCGAGACGATGCAAATGCGGTGGACAAGAAAATGCGGGTTTGACAGGGACGACAATGAAGAAATATTGACAATATACAGTTCTGGATAAAAGCTCAAAGGTGGAAGGCATGCCAAAACGGCGCAACACATGTTCCAGCGCTCAGATACAAGTTTTAAAGCCTCGGAGAATTGGATATCAAAATTTGTTTGACGCAACGGACTCACGCTTCAGCGAAGCTGCGTTACATACGAACCACAACAATCGATCTGTAAGCTTGAGCAATGTCACACTTTAGAAGGCACTACGACATCAACAACTCGTCGAACGTATACCACGTAAGATGGGTTACTCTGTTTTAACGTCTCTAAGAGTGTATGTTGGATGATGCCACTGAATTGTATTATTGGTGTTTTGTAGTGTTGTTATGCAGTAGTAAGTAGCATAATACAAATGAGTTAGACGAAGCATTTTGTGTGCTGTGGATGCAATTAATGAATAATGTGGATGGAATTTCAATCATGCCTGGTCAAGTCAATCATGGAGTTGCGTCGAGAGGTAAAACTCTATCCATTGATGTCTACATCAATCGATCGAAAATAGACAAACATGATCAAGTCATTTAAGGCCTCGCATGTCACGGCATTCCTTATCCCTCATAGGTGGTCAACCTAATTTTTATCCCACATAAGCTGCAACGATATTGTCATAGTTGGACGTATCTTGGCAGATACTAAAGGTAAGCTGACTGTTTCCACTTCACTACATTTCATAGTCATCTCGCTTACGTAGTTTAAAATTGCTGCATTGTGTCGGCGCATTTGCCGATGCTCAATGAGTACGTACCCGAGACGATTTTACCAGTAACGGATGTAATATCCACCTTAACGCTGTTAAACGGCACCTCGTCGACGCTCTCAATGTAGTAGTAGGCTCTTTCTAGCATTTGGCTTGCTTTATCATTTATCAACAGGCTTTTGACGGCGATACGCGTGTTCGCGGGCTGAATGGCAACCAACCACGGGTTGCTGCCCTTCTTGAGGCAGACCTTAATAGTACCCGGATCAGGGCAGTCCACACATTTCCAGCCAATTTTAATGCGATCAGGGTTGTAGCCCACGATCTCGATCAGAGCACTTGGAGACATGTCGAGGTCGCCGTAGTTGCACTCGGGACAACGGTCTACGACCTGCAACGTTACAGCAGATTTTCTGTTTATGCATTTACTGTCAATACAAGTAGCTTCAATGAACTGGCCGCAGTGCGTTAAGCTGTCCCATTGGGCCTGGTTTACGGCCACGTAGTTCGTTAAGGCCTGATTTCAAGATGACATAAAGGCGCGAATTGCCCATGTCGATGGAGATGAGGTCATAGGGCATGGCATCGCCTTGATATTACGTTTCATCGGCAAAAATAGTAGTGACGCCAAGAATCAGCAGTGCAAAGGATTGTAGAGTGTTCATTACTGATGGCGAGTTGGAAAATGAGACCAACAGACGTAGTTTAAGGATCGCGTCAAATTTTGCAGACCAGCTCAAGGAACGACGAGAGATAAGTCTCTTATGATTTTACGCTACGTGAGCGCCATATGTACAAAGTCAACAACAAGTTGATGCTTTAGCCAGCCATTTAGTCTCCTATTTATTTGTCACTCAGCAAGACTAAAATAGTTGGAAGTTGTTAATTTGAAAATGCAATATAAACAACAGCTATAATAAGTAGAACTCATGGTATTTCGAATTGTTGAATTATTTAAACTTTCATTAGCTGATGGGAGATGGAACGCCATGTACTGGAGATAAATTTGTCAATGAAGAGCTTTTAATCTCGCTAACCTGGCTTTCGTGTGTAGACAATCTCCCTTGCATCTTTTGCAGCGCTTAGTTTCAATGAGATTAGCAAGCATTATCTCTCAGCAAAACAAGTTCACAGATAGATTATCGCTTGTTACTATTCGTGAAGTCAGCGGTGCGCAAAGAGCCTTCGGAAACACTCAGCGATGATAATGATTCGTCTTCTTTGTCGCCTTTGAAACCTCCTTTTGCTACAATTGTGTCTCAATGGCCACATTGTCGATTGATGCACATTAAGAAATGTATTAACCTTGTGAACTGTCACCTTAGTTGTCTTCACGGTCGTGCTATCCTTGAAACACTTGTAGTCGTTTGTGTTTACTATAAATCAGTCGCTGTCACCGCTCACCTTGGCGCTTCCGTAACTAAAGCCGCATTTCTGAGTTTGTTCTTGTTCAAGAGCAAGCCGTCGTACATGCCCGCTGTGTATTGTGTCTCACAATCATTGGTTTATTGTCTACGAGGCGTATGTGATTTTTGCAAAAAAAGCTTTCACTTTGTCATCAAATGGAATCATCGACAGCATTTTTAGCGTGTTTCCACCATTTTTACCGTGTTTGTAAGTGACATGCATCGTCAAATCTCGCTAAAAAACACGCAATCTCCAGGTATCTTCTTTAACTCCGCATTGAGGCCCTTGAAGTAACTGTAGAGAGCTTACAAAACTCTGTATGTATCTAGCAGGTTTCCTGGGTTCTTTCAGCGAAATCCACTGGTAGCTGCAAAGCTTTTGCTTGGCACCGCATATCGGTGACCGAGATACCGTTGGCGGAAGGAAAGGACATGAAGTAAATGGTCACCTGTATCAGCAACCAATATACACTTTTTGCCGTTCGGGTTGCACGTTTACTCAAGTATTCCGCCGCAAAATCCATTGGATACGTGACGTACATAAGTCGCTGAAGTTGAACTTCAACAGCCATCCCACATGCGTTCAAACATGCACATTTCTACGCAATCAAAACTTGGTCCGATCACATTGTATCTGATCAATGTACGGGCAGCACGCTTGAAATTGCGCGAACCAAGAAGTAAATAAGCACCAGTCAACTTGACTTGCCTGCTCAGACAGTTGTCTATTGAATGGACAACATCTACTTGTAACTATGATGATCAATAGTAGTGTCGCTCTGCATTCCTTTCTTTGTGCGGATCAGCAATTTGCTCTAATTATTGGATGGTCTGTCTATGTTTAGCAGCTGACTCTCTGTCGCTATGATGTCGACGCTTTGTCCATCAGTCCTGACCACAATCCACGCTGCTTTTTCTTTACACGCGTACGCTCGCAAGGACCATACAATCATGAAGTGTCTCTGAGATAACTAATAGTGACCTTCATTTGTTACTGCGACTATTACAGTAAAGAGTAATCGTTGTATTTCAATTTCAAAAGAAGTTGAAGCGTGTTTCTGATCAAACACTTAATGAACCACCTCGAACTACAGCTTCATTCGATTTTATCGTTTGTAAAAAGGTAATTTCTCATAGACATGAATTTTGACAAACTTTGTATACGCATCTCTAGCACATATATCAGGTATAGCAGGTCAACGACTGCACACAAATTACTTGTACATATCGGTTTCAAAGGGTATTGTCTCTTGTAGCAACGACTAAACTTGTGGCATACGGTGACCAATTGTACATGTCACTAGTCCATCTGCCTGCGAACACCAATGGGCGATTCTACATTATCTGTAACAAGTGATAGCGATAGCTCTCCTCATCCCCCGGCTACGCCAATAGCACCATCATCTGCATCTCAATCTACTGCATTGATTAGTGGTGCTAATTTCTCATTACTCGCCCAAACTGATAGTCCAGACGTCGAAAAACAATCTGCAGACCCTTTAAACATCACGTCTAGCATCAATCCGACAAATAAAGAGCTTATAAACGTGCATGATACGTCTAGTAGCTGCAGTCGTGATGAGGTTACGATTGAGGATGTGACACACGCACCATTGGACTGGACATCCGATAATCGGTGTCCATATTACCCCGTACGGAGTGATGGTTGTACTGAACCAAGATCATGCAGAGATTGTCTTAATGTGGACATTGGAAACGAGTATAGCTGCATGGTGAACCAATACGGCCGCTGTGTGCAAAAAGATCGATTTACGTACGTAAGGTCGCTGGATTTTGAGTGGCAAGAGCCGTCAAATGACGGTAACGCGCGTATGGACCAAAAGGTTCAGTTCCCTGCATACAAAGTGGACTATTGTATGTACGATGACATGCAATGCAAGAAATGTCGAGACGAAGTATTTAACGATGTAATGGAGGGCAGGATTGACGGGTCATTGACTAAGTTTTGCTACGGCAAAGGAGGTTGCGTGTGTATTGCAGTGTGTGAAGCTCCGATATGGAGAGAGACAATTGGACAAACGGTATGCAATGGTACCATAGTGAATCGAAATCATGAGAGCCACTATGTCTATGCGTACGATGGATCACAGGAGAAGGACGGAAAAGGTATTGGACTTAGCAATCTATTGATTGGAGTGATAGGTGGACTAGCATCAGTTATTATCCTGGTTGCTGTAGTTTCTTACATTCGACATAGAAGAAACGAGAATGGCACTGAAGCAAGTAGCGACATGGCTGATTCGCAATTACAGGACGAAGACGAAGATGCTGCTGCTGCTGCTGGAAGTGCTCCAATAGTATCAGAAGCGTCAACGTTGAGTCTATTTGGCTGGCAAGCCATGAGATCGGAGTTGATTGAACGTGAGCACTTGCTGCTGGCTGGAGTCGAGGATTTTTCAAACGTCAAGACAGGATACTTGCAGTTGCTGGATGTGAATGCTTCTGCACCTCCACAGGAAGAAGATGAGAGTTCAGCCCCGGTGCTGTTGGTCCCGTTAGCTGGTGCATCGGCACCAGCTATTTCTCCACGAGATGCTGCAGCATTTGCTTCGACACCTTCAGCTCCACCAGCATCCCCCTCAGTTCCATCACCACCACGACCATCCTCCTCTCATTTCGACGACGATATCTTGTAAAGAGAACAAAAATATCCTATGGATAGTATTTATACACAACGTCACACGTCTTATGGGTTCACGTACGTCCAATTGTTGTGTTGCATCTCGAGTCTCTTCTCTTCTAGCTCTACTACTTGATCGTAATATCGAGCCTTAAGCTCGTCCTAGACGTCGTATGGTTTCTAGTCATGTATACAGTTTCAATTCCTTTTCTTCAGATGTGCAGTAGGGAATTCAGAAATGGGCCAAGAGCACATCAATTGAGAAATTTACTTCATTGGGGGCTGTCATGTGTGCTCTTTTCATATAGTCCAAAAAGTACGTAGTGTGACAAGTGTTCACCAAGGTCTCGTTCACTAACAACAGAACACAATATATACAACGACTATCAGACGGTCTCAAGTGGTCTCTTGTTCGTTTTTAATCAAGGCTGGATTGTAAGAAACACGGCACAGAGTGAACGAAAGACGTTGGTTTGTTTTCAAATATGACTCCACTTAATTTTTCAGAATACAGTGAAGGCTCCGAGAGTACTGAAAGCAATGGACATAACAAGTCAAGTAGTACAGGTTTTGATCAAAGTCATGGCTTACCAAACTTAAATCGAAGTGCATTTGAACACAATCTAAACCGAAGTGCGTTTGAGCATAGTTTTACCCAAAGTGGCTTCACGCAAAGTGGCTTCACGCAAAGTGGCTTCACGCAAAGTGGTTTTGAGCATAGTCTTCGGAGTAATCAGAATATTCAAGTCACGACGATACCAATTCTTGATCGAGCAGATAATCCATTAATGAGCTCGATTGTACTCATGGATCAAGTAGATTCAGCTTTTGGTAGTCCTCGATTAAAAAAAGCAGAAGGAGAGTCAGGATCAAGTTTAGGCCCGTTTCCAGCTTTATCAAGAAAATTTGAAGTCAACTTGTTATCTCAATGGCACATTGGACTTCTAGTCTCAACAGGCTTTTCGGGAATTCTCATGACTTGTTTAAAGCGAGGTGTTTTACCCTTGTTAAAATATGAACTCAAGATGAAGTCATATCAACTTGATGCGGCTGCTGTGTTAATTCAGCTGCCGTGGTCGTATAGTTTCATTTGGGGCGTTCTGTCAGACGCAGTACCGATTTTGGATTCCAGACGAAAGGCTTACATTATTCTCGCATGGATATTGACAATGTTAGCGTGCTTTTCCATGGCCTTATTGGACCAATTTGTCTCGTATCGAGCCGAGGGCAACGATGTGACTTCAGCAGATATGTTAATACATGCTGAAACATTCATGGATGCCTATATTTTCTTGCTAGGTTTGGCCAACTTTGGTTGTATTGTGGCGTTAACTATTGGACAGACATATGTGATTGCACAAACTCGATGGGAGCGTATGTCGGTGCGTGGAACAGCTCTTGGTACGCTACTTATTGCGCAGTATACGGGCGAATTCTTTGGACAGATTATAACAGACTACGCTATCTTTTACGTGACTGACCTCGGAGCAATACCAAAAGTAACTCTGCGTCAAACAATGTTGTTTTTCGTCTTTTACACGGTCGTTCCATTGATAGGACTCTGCACCTGTTTCTTTGAAAAATCGGATCCTCCAGCTATCAATGCTACCCATAATCGTCACAATCGTGCTAATAATGAAAACTTGGAGACATCGGCATCCGAGCTACAACGAGCTTACATAACGGCATCAAATTTCTATCAACGCCTTAAGCTCGCTTTGCGTGGCCATTGGATTCGTCTTCGAACTGCTTTGGGCAAAGAGTCGACATCACGTGTTATCCGCTTCTTGATTGGTTTTATCTTTATGTCGGAGTTTTCATTGCGATACCCGATCAATCGACTCGAGGTTTGGTGTGGAATGAATGCTAAAGCTGCGTCAACGAGCAACAGTATGTCGGAAATATTTTCTTTATTACCAGTGATACTCTGGAAGTATTTCTTGATGAATACTGACTGGCGATGGTGTGTGTTTTCAAGCTTTGTCATTATTACGATAACACCTCAACTCGTGTATTATATGATGGCTACCCTCCATCCTGCATCACGTAATATCAATATCTACGCAGTGGTCTCAGCACTTACAGCATTTCTTCGCAGTGCAATTGTTATTCTAGAATTAGCAATTACGGCCGAGATTGCTCCTGTAGGTGGTGAAGGTGCTTTTGTTGGTATTGTTGTCTCCATGTCAACAAGTATGCGACTCTTGGCAGTCACGGTCTCAAATTTAATCGGTTTCATGTTCAAGGATGTGGAAAATGCTGTCAGTGGTAGGTCTGACCCTGATAGGATGCAAGTGGCGTTTGCATTGGTGCTTTCACACATTATACAAATCCTCGGTCTCGTAGCGCTGGTTTTCTTGCCAAAACAGAAGCGGCATTTACAGCGTCTACATCGCTTTGGAGACAAAGGGAAGCGATGTACAACGTGGTGGATACTATCCTGTCTTGCAGTCTCTTTCATTGTCAGCACAGTCCTTAATGCGTTGGCAATTGCACCGACAACATCTTGTATGGGAATTGTCGGTGGTGGTGGTTGTTAGTACGATAGAAAAGCTTTGTGGTTTTTTTTCTCTATCTCTCTCTTGGATAGAGATTGTTAAGAAGAAGCTTAGAGGATGAGGTCCATCCATTGATCTCGAGCAAAGGTCAAATCAAGCTTCAAGTCGTTTGTCGACCTAGGAAGGTTCATTCAAATTTAGGACTAGGACCGATTTGATACGTTTGACTTGATATTTGAACGGTTTTGTAACAGATTGTATCAAGTTGTGTAAATAGTAGCAAATTGAAAAGGGTCAAAAAAAAATAAATTTAGGATTTAGAATTATGGGATCTGAGATTGTAGATGTCCTACCCCCAAGTATGCGTAATCTGTGCATTTTGGACGATGAAAGCTCATATATTTAGTCTTGCCATTTCAACACGATTATTTTAGCATAACATTGCGCTTCATTCATTCCCTCTAACCATTTGTAGTTGATGCTAACAAAAACAAGACGGAAATAGCTACTTTTCATAATCCCACCGAAAAAAAAATAGTACCGTGGTACATCCTTGATTTGGAAACATTATAATCAAATTAGCTGCTAATAACCACGCACAACCCTTCAATAACGTCACTAAAACGGAGCTTTAATAGATGAATATATCATTAAAATACTACTTAATCTCCTTCTCTTCCTCGTCTTCCATTATCATTCGTAACTACGTCGGTATTGATTCACACCAGACGCTTATATATAAATTAGGTTCATGATACTCTTTAGCGCTCTTCAAGCACCGCGTAGTTGAATCCACGCTCAATCGATATGACAGAGCTGTTGATACTGCTGCTATAGACACTTGCAATGTCTTCTTTTGCACCCAAGAACGAATTCTGATCGCTTGTGCTAACATCGTCACCAATGTCACTCACACGACGCTCCGATTCCAGTAAAGCTCGTAGTCGGTCTGCTGTCTGTGCTGCCGTAGGTCGCACTTTTGGCTCGAGATTCAAACACGCCATCACTAACATTTCAACGCCACGAGGACATCGATCTGACAGCGACGGACGAATGGCTCCAGTACGCAACAACTCCACTACGGCACTTTCTGGCAAGGGCTGACCACTTGAGAGCGTAATATCAGAGAAAGGTAGATCGTGACTGTCAAGTTCCGACAAAATGACTCCAAACGAGTACATATCCACTGCAGTCGAGTATCGAGAGTTTCCTGACAAAACTTCTGGTGCGATCCATCGATTGGTGCCGATCGAGTTAGTCATGGCAAAGTGTTCATCCGAGTCATCGTCGTCTTCCTCGCTTCCCATCGATTGAGTGATGCCATACCGACTGAATCCAAAGTCTGAGACCTTTGCGGTGTACGTCGAATCTAGCAAAATGTTTCTAGACTTGAGGCCACAATGAAGGACCGGCCGTGGTTGTCTTGAGTGCAAGTACGCAAGAGCTTCTGCAATATCCAGGGCCATCGACAATTTACGTGGCCCCCATGCTCGAGCTCGAGCATCGCTTCGAGTGCGAGCCAAATAATCGCGCAGATCACCGCAACTCATATATTCTAGCACCATTTGAACGTCCGATGCATTACCAGTTGGTTCATTATTCACGTCCAATTTCGATGGTGAAGTCCACGCCACGCCATAAAATGCCACGATCTTTGGATGACTCAAGGTCGACAAGAAGCGAATGTCCACCAAAAACCGACGCAATGCACTTTTACCTGATAATACACGTGACTTTGTTCTTGGCGCGGTGTTTGTGCCTGAATTTGCTCTATGTTTGTCAACACTTTGACGATTAGTTTTCCGCCATGACTTTGTTCGAGGTAACGACGTCGGCATTGGCGGTGACAGTTTCTTTACGACTACGGTCTCACCCATGTACGTTGCAAGCCAGACGGTCCCATAGACTCCTGCACCCAATGGATTAAGAGGCTCAATATTCTCTACATCAATTCTCCACGACGCAAGAGCTTCTTCATCTTCAGACGTTAAGATAGCCATCCTGTTATTTGGTCCTCCTCTTCGCCTTCCACGATGATACATTGGTAAGGACGGTGACTCGAGATTCGTATTAATGAGCGTTTGTTGTTGCTGCTGCTGCTGTTGTTGTTGTTTCTTTTTCTTTCGCTTGCAGCAAAAGAACATGACAACAACAAGAGCCAAAAGACAAATCAATGGGATGCTAATACTAAGCCACAGATCGAGTGATTTGTCTTCTGACCCTTCAATATCGCCTCCACTTCCATTAGTACTATTGGTATCGATTCGTAGTGACCCTGAACCTGTTGACGTTGTTAATTGAAGTAATTCGGACGGTACTTCCGCTCCACCATCCGCCATCCATTGATGCATTGCAAAGCTATTGGAAGAATTGTGGTCAGTTTATTCAATTCAATCGATATTCCAATGGAACTGACTGTACTGGGTTCTACTACTAACTAACTAACTAACGTCAGTCAGTCAGTCAATCAGTCAAATTTCAAATCGATCAAGTAAGTGACGTTTTGAACGGCCTCGAAACACTTGAAAAACTTGACACAGACACTAAAACTACACAATACCGTCTCTCTCTCTCTCTTCTTCTATCTCTTAATAACAAAAATAAACGTTATGTATGTCCTGTATGAAATGAACTTGAGGGAAAAAAGAATGACCGAATGAACGATTGGACTGTCAACGACTTGGACTCGCGACATTTCCATCATAAGGTTTCGTGAATTCGTGCATGAGATTGGTCATATATTACATACGGACTAAAAAGTCGTGACTTGTTGCAGCATTGTAAGACCATTTGTAAGGGTGGGTGCATCAATTAAATAGAAAGACGAAATGGTATGCTTTGGAGGTGGGAGATAGATAGATACAATCAAGGTGCTTGTTCCGTATCGAGTATAAAGAATGTAACGCGTGGCCACAAAGTGGGGTAGGTACTTAATAGATTGGAACATCCCGTTTAGTATAAGGACAACGAGAGAGAAACACATCATTTGTGTCATCACTGGCTGCTTCGACATGGAAGGAAGGGTCTTTTGCCTCGAAGGGGTCTTAGAAACTGCACGTTTGTTCCTAAACTTCCTCCAAGTCGATGATTGTAGCTCCAGGTCTTTGTAGCTTAATACCATAGTAATGAAATAGACTCGACTAAGGTGTAAAGACTCATACTAATCTAGAGATCCAGTCATGATACACTGTAGAGCCAGAGATATTTTTTAGCGGGTGGTGTCATGAATCCTCGTCTTTCCAGCATTTTGTACAGTGCACGTACAAAAAACAACAAATACGAAAGCGTACGTACATTTATACTCTAAAATAAAGTCATAGATCAAGTGTCTATATGTGGAGCCATTTGTCCTGCACGACCTATCATCTTATGTTTAGTATGATAGGATGCCAAAACGATGTTGACAAGTTTGACAAGATAATTTAAAGTCCTACATACTGCTTGTACGGGATCTTCTGTCGTGTTTGAATTATCAAATCGCCCAAGCTTTCTCAAAGTGACTGACTGTAAAATGAATACTAATGAACTCGATGACCTTATGAGCGAAGTGGCAGATATAGTCAAGTAAGATTTCCAATGAGTCGACTCTTTCATGACCTTATTGTCAAATATATCAAAATGTGACGCGTCTAGTACGATCGATCCTAAAAACTTGATCCTATTCGTTCTATTCCGCTCTTTCTGTTAGACGAGCTTCTTTATATATTAGTTCAGTAAGTAGACAAACTCAATCATCTAAGGACGTAATCTTTCTGTACCCCGTATTCATTTGATTGCATTGATTGTGTTTCTTCATTACAATACGCGAAGAAAGAGGTACAAAATGACCAGAATCTAGTCCATACTTCAAAAATTAGAATTCAGCAACCTAGACTTATACCCAACGTGTTTAAGCGCTACGACACCATTCACGACCTTCTGAGAGTGGAGTGTCGATACGTTTCGTGTAATTGTAGTAACGACGTTCGTAGCCAATACCATCGCCTTGATCAATGTTCCACGCTTCGTATTCAAAATTTCAAAGTTCTGCGCATGTAGATAAACGCATTCACACACTACATTCTCAAGCTACCGAATGAAAATCATGAGTTTAGCTTCATATGAACCTCTCTAGCGCAAACAGTCACACTTTGTCATGACGACCACGACAGCACATGACCTTGACTACCGTAAGCTGTTGACTTGTTTGACATCAGTCGGAGTCTTTTCGGCCTCAAACGTCCTAGAAATAGTCCGCCGCCAAGCCATTCAACACAAAATAATAGTTTGTAATATCCACCTTGTTCTACCTAGCGAATAGCATAATATCGTACCCGATGTGTTGGCAGTTAATTTAACCGTCGTCCCTATCTAAACCGCGAGCCGCGGTTCAAAATCGTATGACAGACCTTATGTTGCATAAAAATGCATAAAACCGACGCAAGTTCCATTACAATCGACGAATGGAACACACGCCACATTCAGAATAGATAATGTTGCTCCTAAAGCTTGTTCAGTTGCTAGTGTGAAGATCAAATGTTGCGTGGATGCCTTGGCCCACGTTGTGTCTAACTTCGATCGTCATTTTGCTTCTATCCAGTACGTTCCTTCATGTCGTTCCTTCGACGCCAAATCTCCGACTTTCAAACCCGAACTGGCTCCATTTTATTCTGGATACGACCGAACTTAGGCCGTATTTTACTCTTAGGAATCGTCATTTATGCGTCAATCATAGTTTACTGGTCAGCGAATTGGATTACTTTACGGAAAAATACCATTCTCAATCGTAAATTTAACCATTTCAGTCTGCAACAACTTGCCGCTATTTCGGCTCATCGTCCAAAAACCACAATAAAAACTCAGCTTGAGAATCCAAATATTACGTTACGAAACCCAAAATTACGCAATTTGACATGTTTAGGCTGGCAAAAGACCCAAGAATGTCGTCCAGATGGGCACCTTGTCGATCCTTTTGATTCGAATTGTTCTCATACGATCGTACAAGGGTCGAGTGGATACTGTCAAGTTCAAGATGTGGACACTAAGGAGACATTTCAAGTCATGCGAACGCATTGTAATAGTGTTCGCCGACAGTTCAATTGTAAATTTGCACCATATTTCATGAATTTTCGACTGGGTGCTGAAATTTTGATTGAAAAAGCGCTCACGTCAAATTTGGTCTTGCCTAATGTAAATATCACGGCAACAACTTCACGTGATGGTATTGTCATTATTGTGTATCCGAAACTGCTAGCAAGTGCTTACGCAAGCCTTCGTGTCCTACGTCATGTCCTCCATTGTGACTTGCCAATTGCGATTTTTTATCGTCCAGATGAATTAACTGCCCAGGATCAACGATTCAAGCCAATTCAAGATTTTGCAGCGAAAAACCAGAAGATTACGTTTCAAGAAATTCACGATCCACATGCAAAGCGATTTTTGGCCAAAATTTATGCAATTTACCATACAACCTTTGATCGAGTGCTGTTTCTCGATGCGGATAACGTCCCGGTACGGGATCCCAGTTTTTTATTCGAATCGAGGGAATTTTTAGACACTGGAGCCATGTTTTGGCCGGATTTTTGGTATCCAGGACACTCGATGTTTGGTCTTTCAACTCATTCTTTAGTATGGGAGCTCTTGGATCTGCCATTTGTCGATATGTTTGAACAAGAGAGTGGACAAGTATTGATTGATCGAAGACGTCATGCTCTTCCACTGGAGCTTGTACGATATTATGGATTCCATCGTCCTAATTTCTTTACATCCTTGAAACTCGCATGGGGTGATAAGGATTTGTTTCGATTTGCATGGTTGAAACTGAACGTTCCTTTTACGATGATCCAGACACCTCCTGCTATGGCCGGAGTGATTGTTGAAAAGTCACGTGCTACTCGGGATTTTTGTGGCATGACAATGGTGCAGCATGATGCTAATGGAGAGATACTTTTTGTACATCGAAATCGTGTGAAACTCACTGGAACTTTTGCTGATCAGAACCATATTGATACGATGCACGACGATCTAGTTGGTGATCATAGTATTTATGCGACTGGCGCTGCTCTTGATACTGTCGTCAAGTATCCAGATCCAACGATTTGGACACATGTTGCTCGATTTCGCATGGAATCAGACCGAAAACACTACACTATCAAATCGTTTATGGCCAACTTGAGCTTTAAGTCGAGACAAAAGTGTTATGGTCTGCGTGATGTTGACCAAAATCCGCATTTCTACATTCAAGACATTGCTGCGTTGAATCTGTCAGGTCTTGAATCACATTTGCAGCAGTATGCGCTGGAATCTGTCGAATATCTTTCGAAAAACGTGTCCAAGGGTTGAGTGAAAGAATCAACAACTCTAGCAAACCTTGACAACTTTGTATTGACACTCAAGTTGTGCTGTACACGAACACTTCATGTCGACCAGCACAAGGCGGTCCTCTGTTAATGGTATTTCGTTTCGAGAACTGTAGCTATCACTCCTCATTCTGCAAAATCAACAATCTCATCGAGTGTATGTGCAGTCTCGAATCATCGATATTGACCGTGTAAAGTCGAATTGTTTGGACACGAAAGAAACACTGCATGTGGTTGAGTTTGGACGAGTATGCATTGATCAACCGCATAGTATCTCAAGTCCAGGAAAAGCAAAGGACAGTCGACGACAAGGCAACGTTCAGCATTTTGCAGACGCGACTGATGTTGCTCAACGATTTTCTAGCGTTTTTTGCCTGAGTGTTTAAGCTTTTGAATAGTTCATTGCATGCTATTGCAAATTTACGGGTATTTGATGAACATGATCACGATAGACGCAACCATTTTCGATGATGATTGTGCGTTGCATTGTATTGTTGCCGTAACGAGCCGCCAAACATATGAAGTTTGGTGTAGATCCCCATTGTTCGCGAAGTGGTTTGTTCTGTCATGACTTACGTCCTGCAGTTGGTAATGAAACGCAGACCTTGGACGATTGCAAGCGCAAGTTATTACTGAGTGAGCATTTGAAGACGAAGAGGGTTTCATTGGAGTGTTCGAATGCGAGTTGTAAAATGCGTGGAATCAAGATTGATGTGTTTGCTCCGATGAACACCTTTCATATTGTCAAAAGCCCGAAGACTGACGTTAATGAAAGAGCATATATCCTTTATCACTAATTGGATTCTGTACGAGTGTGGTGTGATTCACGCCGTCGTGCTGAAACACATACGTGTAAAAGTTTGTGGGGTTTGTTTTTCATTGGACTAGAACTGTTCCTCACCACCACTTTTGTGCGCATCACCTTACGTTTATCGACTACATTTTTGTGGGTCGCTAAACACGACAGAGCTACCCGCCGCTTGTTCTTGGCGTCCATGAGGACGACATGGCTGCTCTGTTGCTAAGTGGAAGGAGGTATTGGAAACGGCAATGGCCGACGTCTGGTTTCTGACGGGTCCTATGCTGATTACAACCTGCAAGCGTCCGTCCTCATGCTGTGTCGACGTGGATTTCCACGTTCTTTGGACGACACGGAGGTCGTGCACCCTCGGCGCGCCTGACGGTGTCATTCCGGTCCAAGTTGGTCTACATCTATCCTGTGCTCTACTTTCACGCATCGGGCCATCGGTCGGTACTGATGCTCGTGTCGAACGTGTCCAACTACTTGTTCATCTACAGCGCGTGCAAGTACTGAGCTCTGGACTTGACGGATCATACTGGAGCACTCACGTGGCGTGTCTTGTTGCACAATTTTGTGCCTGGGTCTACTTGCAGCATTGTCAATGCTCTTGCTCATGACACAACTTGGTTGAGCTCCTATGCTATCAACCTAGCTAGCTATACAAGCTTTGCAGTACACTAGTATCTATTCATCACGTGTATAGGACCCATACCTTCTAACAAACGTCTACTACTACTGGGAATCATCAATCATCTCAACATCATCATGAATGGCTCATAACCATTCGTCTGAGTATGATCAGGTATAGCACCGTCTGTCTGTCTATCCTCCATCTATCGATCTCTTCATGAACTTGTCATTCCTGAATTTGCTTCCATCCTCCTACGTACACAAGTCTTTCACATCAGCAGTATCATCAGTAGTATCATCCATCATCTCACTTGTATTCCCGATGAAAGAATCCACACCACTCTTATCACTTGCTACTCCTCATCCAGAAGAAGAAGAACCTGTTGATGTTACTGCTGAATTCTGGAGCTTAACGTGGATGGCATTCCAAGTCTCCCTCTCAACCTTTGCACGTATTGCACTTATTTCAGTTGATAGTGCATATCTTGGACATTTAGGTACTTCATCACTTGCTGCTGCATCCTTAGCATCAACGTGGACAAATGTACCACTTGCTGGTGTTTGGTCAGGAGCTACTGCTCTTGTAACACTCTGTGGTCAAGCATGGGGGGCAAAGAATGGAACGTTAGCTGGTATTTGGTTACAACTGGGTCTTGTTCTTGTCTCGTTCCTTTCACTTCCTGTCATCCTTTGGTATTGGTGGTGTATTGGCTACTTGCTTGAATTCTCCACGGATGATCAAGAGGTTCTCGAGCTTGGGATACGCTTTGCACGAATTCTATCACTAAGTATCTGGCCTTCCTTAATCTACGCATGTGTACGTCTCTATTTTCAATCCATGGGGATCATGTCTCCTGTCACAATTGTTGGTACTTTATCCATTGGTGTCGCCTGTGCTGCTAATTCCATTCTCATCTTTGGCGTCTTTAACTGGAAAGGTATGGGCTTTAATGGTTCTCCCATTGCAACAGTCATTGCAGCATGGTTCCAGCCAATCTCTCTCATCGCGTATTGCATCCTATATAAAAAGATGCACTTGCAAGCCTGGGCTGGATGGCAAGTATCTGCGTTCACACGAGACAGACTCAAGATGTTTATAAGTATTGCAGGACCAGTGGCAGCAAATAGTATGGTATCCAACTTGGCCAATTCTGCTTTGACACTTGTAGCAGCAAAGCTTGGGTCCAATGTCATTGCAGCTAATGCAATGATCTCGGGACTCTGGTCCCTCTTATGGGCGCTCTTTTGGGGCTATGGCTCAGCAACGCAGATTCGTGTGGCCAATTATCTTGGGGCTGGACGTCCCAAGGCTGCAAGAGTGCTCGGCTTTTTGGGATTTCTCTGTACAGTCTGCACGGTTGTCGTCTTGGCTATTGCTACATTTGCCATGCGCGAAACGCTCTTCCGCTTGTACTCGAACGATGATACACTCCTGCAGTTGTGTATGCTAGTCCAGCCAATCTTTATCACGGGTTACATGATCGAGTCGGTCGAAATCTTGATCTCATCCGTGCTGGCAGGTATGGGTGAAGTCTCAGTCACGGCCTGGGTAAGCTCACTCAGTGTATGGTGCATTGAGCTCCCAATTGCCTACTTTGGTGGTGTCACGTTTCGTCTCGGTTTCTCGGCGTTATGGTACGGTGTGTGCATGATGGAGCTAGTCAAGCTATCGATCTTCACATTTGTTTTGATACGCATCGACTGGGCAAAGATGGCAAAGCGTGCGGTGAGGAACATGGATGCTAGTAATGATACAAATGCTGGCGTTGAGCGAGAGTCGCTGCAATATGCCATGACAGAAGGTGGCAACACGCTTGGCAGTCTTGCGCCAGTCGTGAGATCTCCTGCAGCGCAAGAACTCATGACGCCGTGTGGACGACGACGTCAATGGGACCAAATGGAAGACGGACCGTTGCTACGCTCGCCCTTTTTCACAAGAACGCCCCGTTCGGATACATTTGCTCGGGCTTAGATCATGCTTGAGACGACGGTATCTATCAACCTGACCCAGTGCGCCATGCTCGCAAGGTTACACTTTGGTAATGAGAGTTGGCATTTTATCTACAGACTCGAGTCTTGCGTGTTATTTCTCTTCACTTTGATCTGTGTAGTAGCGTGCTTTCAGCCTCGTCCTCGTACTCTTGCGACAGAATGTAACAAGTTCTTGTTCTTACAAAAGAGATCAAACAGTGACCAGCATTGAGGTTATCAACATACAGCAGTTCAGCGACAAATGCATCTCTTCAGCTAATCTTGACAAGAATCATCTTCTTCTTCTTGTAGCCCCAAGGATGTAAACTGGAAACGAACAACAATTGAGCATTTAACAAGCATTCATTCCTCCTTGTCAAAAGTTCCATTCATTGTTTCTTCTTCAATCAAGTCAAGACAAGTCAAGACAAGACACGACCGGTCGAATTGTTTCCTCGCTTTTCCACTCGAGCTCTTTCCCAGCAATATCAACCATATCATCTCCTTCACTTCACTTCATCTGATGCTGCTACTACTGCTGCTCTACTGGAATTCAGCTGCATCATAGATACCAGGTAACATTGTGTTTACTTTCTCTGCAATGGCCATAACAATACCACTATAAAGAACAATAACAACACACATAAACATTCGATACAAAATGAATGGACAGCACAGCACGGCGTTAGATAGATACTAAACCCAAATAGAAATGATAAACCCCATTCATCTTACCTTCTATAAGCCGTAATGCCCTTGGATTTGAGCCAGAACCAAAAGGCATCACAATGAGCGCCACAATCGATCACTCCATCGTCATTCTCGTCCGAGTTTTCCTAATTACAGTACGTTAAATTACATTCCAGTGACATTACGTACCCCTATTTTATCGCATCACGCTATTATATCGTACCTTAAGCAAAAGGAATTTACCAATGAGTTGAAAGGTATTTCCAATAGCTTCTTCTCCATCATTTGATTCATTAAGCTTTGTCACGGCTGCCTTTCCAATGCCAGGAACTTCTGTCAAGTCACCAGTAAGTGGTGCGCGAAGAAAATCAGCTAGCGTATCCTCCGCTACGCGAGACTTTTGTGGATCATAACCGTCAGCCATTTAAGTATTGTAGGAATTAGAGTGTTAGAGATAAATGATATTTACGAAAACAATTTCAATAAAAATGTTGATTTATCATGTAGAAGTAATAATATTATAGAGGACAGACGAAGCATACTGATTTAAGATAGTCATGTTACACTTTTATCCAAATGTACTGTCATGTAATGATAGCAGCATTACGTCGAAAAAAAAAAAAAAAAAAAATTTTTTTTAATAAGTAAAAAGTAAGAAAAAAAAGGACATGTTACTTGATTCTGACACTGTCGCTAGAGACGTTTCTTGCTGTTTGCTACTCAGGATGTAACACCACATATTGTAATCATACACTCTGAGCAAATGCTGCTGTCCAACAATTCTTTTGGTGCAGTAACAAAGCTGCTGACTGTTTGTCCATTTCTTGCTGTTTCTTCAGCATTTGTGGTGCAAAACATGCAGCATTGGGAAATGTCTGAACGACGGCTACATTCAGTCCACAGCGTTGTGCTCTCATTTGGGAGTGAAATGTCCACTGCTTGGATAAATAGTCGTATCGAAGTACAGAATCCAGATACTCGTCTTTCTTGTTTGAACCTCCGAGACAAAAGAGAAAAGATTCGCTCACATAACTAACAGCGACATGGCCACTTCGACAGTCTGCAAATGCCTCCACGTCACTCCACGTTCCACTGTTCAAGTCCAGTTGCTCGCTTGTGCTCAATCGCGCACCATGACGAGCCTCACCACCAAAAACAAGAATGCTGTTGCTGTGTTCCTGCACTACCGCTGCAGGACCATTGCGTGCATAGCGCATATTGGCTCGTGACGACCACTGGTTGGTCTGCGGATCAAAAACCTCCACACTTTTCAAGTGTTCCTTGCCATTGTACCCGCCGATAGCGTACACAAGTCCGTTCAGCGCAACGACTGCAAGGCCGCTGCGTCCTGTCAATAGCTGAGGCATAAGCTCCCACTGCTGTTTTTCTAGATCAAATCGCTCTACAGAAGATAAATGGGCTTGTCCATTGAATCCTCCCACAGCGTAGATAAACTTTCCAACGACTGAGGCTCCAAGATAGCTTCGAGCGTGTTTCATCGGCGGCATTTCAAACCACCGATTTGTATTTGGATCGTATCTTTCCATACTCTTGTGGTGGATCCAGCTGCTGCCTGTGCCTCCCATGACAAATATGTTGTTGTCTTTCGTAACAGCGACTCCACTATAAGAACGCCGAGCTGTCATTGGCGCTGCAGGGTACCATTCACCAGAATGGAAGTCCAAATACTCTACCGTGTTGAGTGCACCAGGATTGTTAAAGCCTCCGATTACGAAAATGGTCGGCATTAGTTGTTGCTTGGTAGTATTCTTGGCATCTACGACGTCCAATACTATCGGATCATCGCCAACTTGGAATGATATGTTCTCCTTGCTATTCACCATGGCAGTATCACTATTTCGTCGACTTTGAATCGCATGTTGTACCGCTTCCACCCCACTGTTTGTCAAATTGTTTTGTGAAGAAGACAAGACAAGTGAGAGTTTCCCTTGTCTTGTCATGGGATCGTGCATGATCCACGCTTTTACTGCTGCCTTATCTGTAAAGCTGTTCACTGTCTTGTTCTCCAGCTTGATCTTGTCTTTATGTTTTAAAAGCTTCATCACGGTGTTGACTGACAGATTCTTAAAGCTTTTACTTTGATAGACATCGTAAAAGAAGGTATCAATCATAGCCCAGGCTGCTTGAGCCAGTATTCTACACACTTGTATCATCTGAAGCTGTTCACAGCTCATGTAGATATCGACACAATTCGTGATATTGAGTTCCAGCATCAATTGTTTACAACACATTTCCACAACTTCCTTGAGCTCAAGTCGATTAGCTGCATGTAATACTGACAGTATTGTATTTCCTGAGATTCGTAATTCTCCAATGTACATGTATTGTAACAAGTCAAGAAAGGCAGCAAGTGGTATATCAGGTAAGGAAATACGAGGTACTAGTTGCTGTGATTCCTTCATTCCATTAGTAAAGAGTGCATGGAAATACGGACTTGCAGTTGCAAGAATAATCCGATGAGCAGGAATCTCATGGACAAGAAGCTCTTGTTGTACAGTGGACGATTTGGATTGTAACACAAGAATAACGTCCGTGAGTTCATGACTTTGACACATTGTTAATAGCTTCAAACGTCGTGTCGCTTGTACATCCCCATGACTTTGTATCGATAATGTCGATGCAAAGGAAGAATGGAGTAGAGTCTCCACGACACTATTCTTCATACGAGACGTTGTCATTAGAATGATACAATAAGTTGAAGTTTGTCGGATTCAAGTCAAAGAATTTATGACATTCATAGGTTCATGTGATAACGCAACATAAGAAAATTTAGATTGCCAAAGTAGCACTTCGAGTTGTTCTTTCTTCATCCACCCTGTTGACGTCATCATAACATATGCACGCTCTACTTCAACTTAATCAGAATAATTGTCATTCTTTCATGAGTTATCTCTCATTATACGCATGCAGTTTGTCTTTAGAAAAATAACAGACTTAGACGGATCCACCATAAGCAAATAACAACGCATCACCATGGAATTGGCGCCAGCCATCCACTAGATCATCATACTCCTTCGGATGGTTACGATTGAATGCCACAGGATCCTATTGTAAAAACAAAAAAAAACCATTCAACCAACGTTAGTCAATCCCTTCTACTAGAATCATTCGAGTATGTTGTCATTCGTACCTCAGCGAAACAAACAAAGATAGTGTGGAGAGCAGCAATGATTACATGTGCCAAGATTAAAGCCATGCTTATACCCACCATAAAACCAATGAAACCCATCGTTGCGTAAACGTTCGTACGAAAACCCAACGCTGTAAACCACTCCACAGGTGAAAAACGCACCATGAGAAGTCCAACACAGCACGTAACAACACCGACGCCCATTGCACCAAACGAAAGTGCGCTTGACGTCAAGTCATCATTAATCACAGCCGTCCAACCGCGGTTTTTGAACAGATCCATGACCGCTTTTCCACTTGTGCGGAAGGAATAGCCGTACACGCCGACGTATACGTACGCCCACTGATTTACGTATTCCATAATGTTAGTTAAGCAGCTCAGAATGCATTCAGCCATGCATGCCAAACACGCCAGTCCGCTGTTGTTCTCTTCACTAGCACGGCGTCGAGCCGTATCCGCCATAGTTCTCAACGCCTGAAGAACTGCCACAATCAGCGAACCAAAGCAAATGGACCCAAAACTCGTTGTCACCGAGCGATACAGCGCTCCAATCGTCGCTTTCTGTGCATTAGGTTGATACCACCACGTCGCAATGACGCCTGCCGTCGTGCAGGTCAAAATGTTTTGCAATACTTGCTGGCCCCAGTACACACTTATAAGCATGTAAAACACAGCAGCATAAGCTGGTAATCCCACACAAAGTCCTCCATGGCTGCGACCACGTGCAGCAAGATGAAGCTCTCGCTCACAATCTGGATCTGATTCAACAAAAACTCGGTGCATACCTAAGCTAGCAACACCCCACAACAACATCCAAGCAAGTTGAAGTACAATGAGGACAAAAGCTAGTGCAAAAATAGCCGAGTATTGTTTCAAACCAGCACATGCTGCTTGTAGATTAGCTGATGCAAACCCAATTCGATTCTGAACCGCAAAAATGTACCACACATTAATCAAAGCCAAGAAAAGAAAAACCAACGCTGCCCAGACGTTAACAGAAAAGGTAGAGACTGCAAAACTCAGTACCATACCAACATTCACCCAAAGAGCGACTTGTATCATTGAAGACGCGTATGACATTAGTAATTTCATCCAAGCACATGATATGATCGTTCCAATCATACAAAGTACACCAACCATTGTCCAAGCAATGGAATGACCTTGTGGCATTCGACCATCACTCCGATTTTTGGCCATATCCTCTTTTAGTGCAGGTAATCCTTTCCAATAGGCTAAAATGCCTAAAATAGTGACATTAATTAGGAAAATAAATGCAAAAAAAGCATCATTACATTTCGGTACAGGCGTCTCAAGGTGTAACGTATTGACGGTATTAGAAGAAGGTGAACGTCGACTTTTTTCAATACTTGGACTCATTAACATTGGATCAGACTCGCGAACGGGCGTGTACATGGTGTCCAAGTCAGAATCAGAGTCAGAGACGTAAATAGGAGCAGAAGCAGAAAACGTTGTAATTAAATCAAGGAATGTCCTATTTAGGACAAAGAAGGAAGAAATAAGAGAGACACGGGATTGGTAAAAAAAGAAATGTTCGAGAATTGGCACGATGAAGGTTTAGAAATACTTGAGGTTTTTCTTCTATTGTTAGAAAAACTGGTCGGTCAAAAGTAGAAACGGTATCATCTGAGATTATATTTCTAACTTATATATTTAACAATTGAGATGGCAGATTTGACACATGTCACGTCGAGTGATGCAGCAGTAGTAAGGCCACTGGGACCAGCAAAAGGTTGGTCATGTGACGAAAAGGATTGTAGAAAACAAATATAAAAATTGCAGGGTGATGTGATGCGTCGATATTGAGAAAAACGTCTTGTTGTTTACCGGTATTTGACAGTTACACTGCAGTTTGTGGCCGTGGGCAATGCACCGCTTATGAAGCGCACCAAGTTCACAGTGGGTGGTCAGGACCAATTAAGCGTGGTGGGTAAAATCAAATTCGAACAAAGTGGGTGAATTACGTTTTGGGTTAATTGACGAAGAAAATTGTAATCAGGTGTACAAATTTTTGAAAAAGCAGCTCCGGCTTAAAGATACCGACTCGCTGGTAAAGAAAAACCGAGCATGTGTAAGCCAATTGTATCTTTTATAATGTAATGTTTCTGTTTTCTTGTAGTTTGTGTATTGCAATAGTTCGTTCGCACCATCTCCCGAGCAAAGACTTAGTTCATTATTTGAAGTACATTGTGACAACCTATTTTTACAATAATGACGATAATATCGCTAATTATTGTGTGATGGATGTTCTAAACGCAGTGCTTTCAAGTGGGTGATGTATTGGTACTGAACTATAGTCTAACGCAGGCTTGGGGATAATAGGAGATTTTGAAATGGAGGTATGATAGGCTTTTCAAGGTTGAAGATGTTCACGTTGGTATCATATTGAGTGGATAGATGCTGCGAGTGATTGAACGGAATCAAACTGTTATTCCTGGTGATGTGAAATTGGCACAAGTATGATGAAGTCAAGTGTGAATTATGCGATACCATTACCGCCTTTTAACAAGACAATGTTAGCTTTGTGGGCTTTGAAGACGACTTGCGAGCATGTGTTCAAAGATGCTCGTGACTGTGCAATATTGTGTTGACTACGGTAGATGCAGCCAATAAGTCCAGCAGCGTTACTGTAAATCTACTCCACAATGTCAGCAGTGAGCACGACGGAAGCATTGCATTCACAGTAATACCCATGAATAGAGAAATTTGGAACGGAACCGTCGATACGAAATAAAAATTGTGCAGGAATGCGGCAAGCGAATCATGAGCTGATCCTGTGCGCGTAAACGTGAGCATACGATACTCGTTGATATGCAGATGGGAGCCAACGTATGATCTTTGTCGATCATATTGTTCCAGGGTCAGTGACAGTCCGAACGAATATATGCGTTGTTTGCTTGCTCGTGCATGGCCAACTGAGTCTACTTGCAGCATACAACAAGAGGATAGACTGCTACAATATTGATCTAGGTTTGCCGAGACTCGCTTTCTAACGCCAACGTGTTTGTTTTCGATAGACTCGTAGCACATGTGCCATAAAACGAGTTGTCGTGCTTTTAACGTGTTTGTAGCGCAATAATAGAAAGGAGAAGCGTCAAACGACAGCATAACATTACTCCATCCATTCATTTTCTTACCCATACCTTAGAGACTCTTTGAGTACAGCTCATGTTTGACTGCTGCACTTCGTTCTTCAAGCCTTTTTGAATTGGGTGGATTCACACGCATCGTATAGTTATACCGACGTCTAAAGTCTTTTTTTTCTGTCAATGACCGAAGAGCAAAATAGTACTTGGCATATACTGTGGCGGAAATGTAGAGATCCCACTGGATATGATGCAGGAACAGGCGCTCCAGTCTATTGATCGAATGCAACGAAAACTGTGGATAAATGTTGCTGATTTCAACATTCCACGAGCTTAAATCTTGCCACACCTTGGACGCCAATAGTAATCCACAAACCACAATGGGTCTCCACGTCGCCGCTAAGAGCGGTACGTTGGCTTGCTCCATTAATCGTTCAATGTAAATAAGACACACAATCGTGCACTCGGCACTCAGTTGTGCTTTATTGAATAAATTCTTACAGAATCGAAAAATCTCTTCCACACTGGGTACATGTCGTTTTGATGTAATCTTTTCCATTCTATATACTGTCATTGGATGAACTCGTGGTAATCTTACAAACGTATATTTATACTGAGGTGTCACAAATTGTTCTTCTCGAAACGTTTCTTCCACAGGTAAATCCACGAGCCTTGGCGACGAAATAATACTTGTCTTCGTTCTTTCCTCTACATCTTCTTCTTTATCAGATACAGGAGCGACCGTTTCCTCCATATGAAACATTGACGTATTTTCTAGATCACTAGGTGATCGTAATTCATTCAATCGTCGATCTTCTGATGCCGTAAGTGCTGAAACAGCTGCAATGGCATTTGAAATTCCTCCTGGATTCCCATGACGTTGTTGTTGTTCCCGATGTCGCTTTTCACAGCGTCTAATGTGTTGATACAATACAACACTCACACGTCGTAGAAAATCATCATAATTGGGTTGAGCAATTGAAGAGACAGAACTTGGAGGTGCGAGGCTAGTACTACCGACGATACGATCATTCGGTTTACGATACCGCAAGGAGCTTGTTTCACTTAATCTAGGAGTAAAGACAGTATGAGTAGGTTGAAAAATGGGTTGAAAACGTACACGTTTTCCTTCGTCTTGTCCATGAGGTGATGTTGTCTCATCCTCGATTGAACTTGGCAATAAAGGTGAGAGGGACACACTAAGAGCAAGTTCAGTCATATGAATAGTATTATGAAGATCTACTAGCATATAATAGAAGAGACCTAGGAAGATCTTGTGATGTCTTGTCAAGTAATTGACTTGGAATAATAATAATAATAATAATAATATGATGTAGAGAGATGGATCTTAGTAGAGAGTGGCTACTTGAAAATTGAAGCCAAGTTTCAATGATGTGGTGAAGTAGCATTTTGGAGGATTTATTAAACAGAGGTTCTAAATTTGAAAAACCAAAGGATTTTAGAGAAATAGATTAGATTCAAATGGACATGGACATCATTAGCAACGATATAATCCGTCATCAGTCGGTCAGTAAGCTTCTTTTTTTATCACTTCCTTTCGTATCTGATACACTGGTTGAATTCATTTTGACAGACTACTATCGACACCCTGTTTTTGTTTGTTCATATTGGCAAGTGTCAATAATGTAATGGCTAGCAAAAGCTTTAGAAGAGGTATCAGTTTGCACCCATGAGTTCTAGTTTTGTATGATTATTGTCGGCTACGTAGCAATACAAGCGTTGTTCTCTTATCAATCACCTTCAGCAATTGCATGCCAATGGAAAGGCACTTCTCAAAGCGTTAGCATGTAAAAACATGATACCGTGAATGTTGGAATTGCTGCTTTGTAGCTCTAGGAGCACATGATTACTGGGAAGCAGTATGATTATACTTGATGACAATTGCAGCCATAGAAGAAGCCGCCACGGAGAATGGGGTCTCGATTGGATGAGTATTGGTTGTAAAAGCTTTGCGTAATAAACTGTAGCGATAATGTGAAGACAATATGGCAAGACGATACGCTTATGCGCAGAGAGGGCTGCTCTTCTAACTTGCAAAGTATCTAGTAACTACTTGATGGCTCGTGTCACTAACACAACAGCAGTTTTTGTGTTTACCTTAGACTTTGCTACAAGATTCGTTGCGCCAAGCAGGTCAGATTGATGCTGAGTGCGACTACATTGTGCAATAAAGGTTATGGACGAATGCGGGTTTCGCTTACTTTGTGCTGTGCTGTCAAAACAACTTCAGCTCAAGAACGTTAAGTGGAGTTAAATGCATCGAAAGACTTGCAACACACGATGACGTTACCAATTTTCCCATGTCAGCCTTCGACAAGGCTGCGATATCCCGACAAGATCCTAATGAATGTAATGGGACTTCCGTGGTGGCAGACGAACTAGTTCATCTCCATAATCTACCGTTACATCGTCTTCAGTGATGATCGTGCAGCCAGCAAGCCAAGCAAGTGGACAACTCGAGTGGCAGAGCTTCAAAACAAAGTTTTACGACGCTTCTGACGAACATATACGTGCTTGTCATTGCACCTTACAGCTGTATGTCCACGTACACCCTCTTTCTGCTGCTGCTGTTCACCTTAGCATCATTATATTTTCGTTTTCCTTGTAATTTGAGAGTAAATATGACAGCAGTATACTCTCTTACTACAGAACTGGCATAGATTGTGGGCATCGCCATTGCATCATTTTCTGCGTCGTTGACCTTCTCCGCGTTTCCTAAAGATGACTAAGGTCATTTGCTTTAAGCTCACAACGAGGTCGAATGTTTGATATATTTCTGAAATCTGGCTGGAGGTTTTACTCAATTGTTCGCGTTTGTGGGCGTTTCTCATATAACAAAACAAAGCACCAAATGGCTCGTCTCGTTGTGTATTGCTGCATCTGTTCGTTTTTTGTCTCTGTATAACTTATTGTGCATTACATGAAATTTTCATGCGCCTGATTAATCGAATCACCCAAGCTCATATTCTGACCCTTTTAAGTTCTGGAGTGAGAACATAAAATAGGCTTAGGTGATTCTGTCAATCAGTCAAAATGTAATAATGTCATTTTGTCAAGTGAAGCCAATGTTCGCACGTATGAAAGCCAATCATTATGTCTTTTGCATTGCAAATCTTGTACGTCTAATAAAACAAACTTATTGCCAAGTCTTTGGAAACGACATTAGTACTTGTCTAGTGCACTGCATCTTGCTAATGATCAAAGCTGCTTCATTAGCTGCCTAATGCTGTAACTCGTGAAGATGTCACTAGCAACACTGCAGCTTATCATAGAGTGTATGAGCAAGGAAGCATCAGATAAACTTACATTTGTTCAACGGTATGTTTGCACAGCCAATAACGGTTCAGAAGAGAAATGACATGTATTCATATTTAAATGATAGTCAAGGAGCTATAACGTCATTACTTCTCCACTCAGCCAACCTTCAGTCAAGTCGTTTTGCAATGCAAAGATACAAGGCAAAAGTTTCAGATGATTTTCCAGCCAGTGTCAAGACTGCTGGACAGTGTCGACGCTGGCTGTCCCTGTGCTATTCTCATTGGATCAAGGTCGCAAGTGCAATTTTTGATAAGACCGGTGCTAGAGCAATCGCGCGACCGGAGCAAGAGTGGACAAGCCGGCGTCTCACATTACACCGGGTCGTAAAAAATTGGAGCTGGGATTGGCAAGAGGTTCAAAGATATTAGCAACCAGGATTTACGCAGCCGAGGTGTCTCAAGGACGAGCTGGCCACATACCACCTCTTGCAATAAGTGAAGTGCATACTATCTTCAAGACAGTGATACACCAGCTGGCACTGGAGCAAACCAAACGGTTTGATTTGGTGCCGGCTGGTGGAGCTTCTCTAGTTGTGGAGTCGTATGCAAGCTCCGGACTGGCGCCATGTGTGCTCCAGCAGTCAGTGGGGTCAAGTTGTCGTCTCGCTTTGTTGTCTGATTTTTGCACTTTGTTAGAAAGAGAAAAGCCTTTTAATTGGTTAGCACGTAGTAAAAAATCTGTGATTGGTCCACACCGATGGCAATCCTTCTTTTTCGAATATTCGAGGGAGAAAAGCGGCCCCGTTGCGGGCGGCCAACGACCACCTTGCACAACAAAATCCGGCACGAGAAAAGACTATCTAAAGCGACAGGGAAGACGGCAGTGGAAAGTTTGTTTCACGGGCGTGGAAAGTGTTTAAAGCGACGGGGAGGCGGAAGTGGGAAGTGAGGGGTGTGGTAGGTTTCATTACCGCGCTGGAAGTGTTTGCGGTTTCCCATTGGAGCATCTACGTACGCGAATGGGCTCCAATAGCGCCATGGAGGACGAATTGCACCCAATAATGGACATGGAAACCGCCGCTAGTCGACGACCACTTGGTGAGAGCAAAGGATTACGGAGAGATAGATTAGCGTCTATCAGTTCGTCTGGATACTCGGACGCTTCTTCAGTTGATGACGTAATCAGCACTGCATTGGAATTACCTCCGCATCTCCGCAATCACTTAGTTAGTGTGGCTCACCGTAAATTACCGCCTGTGACTTCATTAGAAGACGAGTTGTTACCACCGATTGACCAGATGCGACCGCCGCCAATGCGTATCCCACTGCTACCAGAGAATATGAAGATGGAACCAATTCCAGGCATTAATCAACGACGGCAGAATAAGCGCGTTATTGTGTGTGGAGCTGGTATTATTGGGTTAACAACGTGTTATTATCTGGCAATTCAGGGACATGAAGTATTGTGTGTAGAGAAGGAAAGGAGTGTGGGAACGCAAGTGAGTTTTTGCAATGGTGCTTTCCTAGATCCAGCTCTTTATGCAAGTTGGTCTGATATTACAAACTTACGCAAAGGGATCAGTTCTCATCGAGGCCATGCACATCTTCGTGAAGCTACAACCTCTACAGCTTCTACAACAACAGCAGCAGATGGCAGTAGTGTAATTGTCAATGGAGGTTCAGTTGCAACGGGAGCATCCAGTACTTCTACAGATATTACAGTTTCTGTAAGGTCAGGGCGAGGGACAGCGTTAAAGTGGCCGTTGAGAGAAAAACCCATGAAAATTGAAATGTCTGCATTTCGAGATGCCAAGTTTTGGAAATGGGGACTGCAATTTTGGCACAACTCGAAAAAAGGTCGCTCTAATGAACACAGTCGCACCATTCGAGAACTAGGATTTTACAGTATGTTGAAGCTGCGGGAGCTACAGGCAAACACTAAAAAAGGTGAAGTGGTTATGGACCAAACAGCACAAGGTACAATTGAAATTTTTAGAAACCACAGTGAGCTGGAAGTAACGCTAGAGAGCGATCGAAGTGCTCATTTGTTGGAATTAGGGATGGACTTGCAAACGCTTACTGCGACACAAGCACAAAATTTGGAACCAGCACTACGGTCCGAAATGTACGCGCCTGGGGCAATTTTGTCGGCTTTTGGGACGAGCGGAGATGTGCACAAAATGTGTCAATCCCTTTACCGTTTGTGCTTGCGACAAGGCGTGATGTTTCGGTTTAACACGGAAGTACAACATATTTTGACGGACAAAACATCAGTGATTGCGCTGCAGACAAGGAAAGGGTCCTTGATCGAAGGAGACGAGTTTGTATTGGCGCTTGGAAACTCTACTGCTCCTGTGGCAAAACGAGCAGGAGTTAAATTGGCAATTTACTCGGTGAAGGGGTATATGTTGTCGGTTCCAGTGGCTGCAGGCTTTCGTGCACCTATCCACAACATTTATGCTGGTGGATATGCACTAGTTGCACCTTTGGGCAAGTCCTTGCTGCGAATTTCGGGTGGTGTGGATTTTGTGAGTCAGAAGAAGACCAAGGAAGTGTCACCACGTGATCAAAAAAAGCGGTATGACTGGTTGTTGGCACAAGCCAAACTCATGTTTCCAGAAGGCTATTTGGATGTGGCTAAAATGCATACACACACTTGCTGGCGTCCGGTGACAGCAGACGATGTGCCTCTTATCGGTCGTACTAAGATCCGAAATTTATACGTGAATGCTGGCCATGGCTCAAAGGGCTGGACACTTTCGTTTGGTGCAGGGGCATTACTTGCTGATGAGATCAGCGGGCGGCGACCACAGTTAGACATGATTAAGTTTGGTCCCGACCGCTTTGGCTTTTTCGGTTGAGATTAAACCTGCCTTAATGATTTCGGGGCTATTTGAATATTTGCAACACACATAGAGGCTGAGAGGGTGAGAGATAGTGATGATCGACGAGCGGTCATTATAACAACTGAAGTGGGCCGTTGCTGAGGAAAGCTCGATAGAGAATAGATAAGCTCAGCCTTCCTGAGCTCGACTGCTCGAGAGGACAGCATCAAGCGCTGTATTGTCTGACGGCAACGCTTGTGGTCGTATGTTGTTATGCTCTCACGCACAGCATTAATTAATTTGTTTTTCTTTTACTATTTGCATCAGAAATTGTTGTTGTTGTTTGTATCGAGTGTAGCATGAGATGCTAAAAGATAAAGGTATTGTTGAGAACACGCATTGTCTCAGGGGCACGCCTGTGTCAATACTGATCATCTGACAAAAATGTCTCAGTCACATACTGTACGACCTTTGTTGTCTCAACGACATTTCTCATTACGCATATATGTCCGTGTGATTGTGGTTGACACGTATAGTAGACATACGTACGGTTATGTAGTTACTTCTATGGATAGCAGCAACAACACTATAATTGTTGTCGTCTGAAAGTTAATGTATTGAGCACATTTTATGTAAGAATAGAGTAACATTTTTTTACGTATCGCTTGCTATTATTAATTTTGACAATAATTGTTTTCACAGATATGATGTTAGCACAAAAATAAAGAATTTAAAGTGAGTAACAGTCTCGTCAACTTTTTTTTTCTGCCCTTTTTGATTGCACCATTTTCCGATGTTTCAAAAAAAAAGAATGCCATAATAACTAGCTGTCGCTCAAAACAGATGGATTGAATATTTCAATGGTTACATTTAAAAAACATTCGCGCCCACCGATCTCGTTCCACCTCTTTCATTGGCTAAAAAGAAAAAATCAAAAACCCTGTTGCCTTTTTGCCACTCGACGACAATCACTCTTGCACAATGCGGCGCACTGTAATGCCTCCGCCACCAGCGACAGCTTTGTATGACCCTGCATTTTGTAAATCAGACGATGATTCATTAGATGACCATAAATCATCATGTAGCACAGATGAAATGCGTGTCCGACCATTGGAAACTTTCATCAAGTCCAGGAAAGACGGTAGCGTACGAGTTGCAGTGCGTATTCGCCCCAAATTGCCTCGAGAACTTATGCGAAATGCTGCGACGTGTGTGAAAAAGTCGAAACATGTGGAAAACACCATTGAATTGAGTACAGGAGAAACTACCCACAGAACGTTTACGTACGATTGTTTATTGCAATCTTTCCTTATTGTATTTTATTGTAGTATTGTATTTTATTGTAGTATTTTATTATGATATTGTTATAACAATAATAATTGGTTATGATTTTGTTTATGACTGTATTTGTTTGCTATAGGTTTGATCATGTCTTTTCCGAGTCGACAAAGCAAAAAGAGCTGTATGAGGAGGCACTGCATCCTTGGATGGCGTCGTTCCTACAGGGATTTAACGTGACGGTTATAGCGTACGGACAGACAGGATCTGGAAAGACGTACACTATGGGAAATAGCATGCCGTCCACGTCCGTGATAGTCGATCGTTTATTTGGACGATCTCTTTCACGTGATGACAACAACGACGAGGAAGCTGTAGATACACTACAGAGTGATGAAGGGCTGATTCCTAGGTTTCTACACCATTTGTTTACAAATATGAACGAGACAAGAGGCAATTTTCAATTGTCAGTGTCGTTTTTAGAAATATACGGAGAGGATATTCACGATTTATTAGAAAGTCCAGAGACGCAGAGATTTAGTCGACGGTCGGAGCCTTTGCAATTGAGAGAGAATAAGAAGAATGGTGTGTGGGTGCAGGGACTGACGGAGGTGCGGGTATCGAATCGACAAGACGCTATTAAGCAATTGCGGCGAGGATCACTGCAACGGGTTACTGCTAGCACACAGATGAACGAACGTTCCAGTCGGTCCCACGCTGTATACACGGTCAAGGTTGTCCAGCGAGTATCTAAATGTGAATCTAAGAAGGCTTTACTTGTGCGAGACGATCTTGAACCCTACAGTGCAAGGAGGCCCACTGCTCATGCATTTGGGTTGCCTAATGTGCAAGGCGATGTCTCCGAATCTGATACGGTGATTGTGTCAAAACTTACATTTGTAGACTTGGCAGGAAGCGAGCGATTAAAGAAGACGCTTGCGGAAGGCGAACGCATGAAGGAAGGCATTCAAATCAACGTTGGTTTATTTGCTCTCGGCAACGTCATCAATGCGCTTGGCGATGATAAGCGTCGGACAGCATCAAACGTACACGTTCCTTACAGATCTTCAAAGCTAACGCGGCTGCTTCAAGATGCGCTCGGTGGAAACAGTAGGACTTTGTTTATGTAAGTATTTTGTCTGTCATTATAACAGAACGTGGACTAGTATTTGTCCATCTTAACACCTATTTGATCTTATTGCAGTGCATGCGTGTCTCCTGCAGACTTGTACGTAAATGAGACCTTAAACACGCTTCAGTACGCAAACCGCGCCAAGAATATCCAGAACAAGGCAGTGAAAAATATTGATAGCCGGTTTGCTGAGCTGGCAAATTTGAAGGCGTTTAATCAGCTTTTGTGCCGCGAGCTGGTTAAGGCAATCATTGTAGGTTTTGGGGATGGATGGTCTAATGATATCGACACCTGGACGGGAAACTGTATGACAAACTCAAGCGTTTTGGCGTACTTAAGCAAAATTGAACGTCTAACAGCATCGGCAGGACCAGAGACGTCTAATGAGGAGCGTCTTATTGAAACGCGGCGCCTATTGAATGGCCTCACTGCTTACCTGTGCGGGTTAGTGCCGAATAATGAATACCGACGGGCTGCTTCATTGTCAAGTTTGAACGAAAATAAGGCCGATGAAATTAAGTCTCCCGATGAACATCTAGATTTCGTTAGCGACAGTGGCTCTTCCGTGGCAATTATGGAAGATCGGAAGATCGATATGGATGACACGTTTGTGTCTCCTTACCCAATAGAAAAGCTATGCCGCACATTGGAAGTAATGAATTGTGCGTATGAAATGCAAGAAATGCAACTAGAAATGAAACGACAGCGTGAATTATTCCAAGCTAAATTGCTCAATTTGGAATCCCGGCATCACCGCCAGGAGTTATTGCGAAACGGATTGTCGGATATGATTGACAGGATGCAAACATGGCTACCTGAATCTCTATTGGACCACTCATCACAAGATACAAGAAAGACAATTTATCGCAGCTTGGAAGCTGCCAAAGCAAAGATGGCGCTGATGGAAGTTGATATGATGGATATTCAGACCCAGAAAGCGACACTGACAAGCGAACTGGAAATGAAGATGAAACGTTATCAAAAGCAGTGGAAATTGAAGCAAGAACAAATTGACGAGATGAGAGCAGTTTCGGGAGAGACCATGACGAACGCACTCAACGTTTTGACCCGGAAAACTGAAATTAAGGTGCCTGTGATGTAAACTTCGTTCTGCAATTTTTAGCTGTAGCTTACAATAATACGTTTCGCAGGTTTGCTTTGACGGCTACGATCTTGAGAGTATTTTTAGATACCTGAAGGATGAAGAACAAGAAATGGCGGGTTTCCTTGACGAAGGTGATGAAGCGATTTCGTTCATGTCGCCTTTGTTCACTCAGGCAGAGTTATCTTCGCTGCAGTCCCGCGACGTACTATCGATGATTCAGGAACAGCTTCGGGTGTGTTTAGCTCTCATGTGTTCACCATACATATCCGTGCCACCTCACTCAGCATACCTACTTTATGATCCTGCAGATCGCCTTTGACAAAGAAGCTCTCGAGGCTTCAATGAACAAGGAGCTACGAAAGCGAGCACAGTTGTTTGAGAATATTACGAGCGGGCTAGTGGCTTGTCATTGCGGTGAGATCACCGAGCAGGAGTTTATGGAAAAGAATGAGCAAAATCTGAAAGACTGTGAGGATAACATATGCCAGCTTCGTGATGCTATGCGCGCAAAGCGGGATCAGCGAGCATCAATGGCTGAAATACTTGAATCGATTGTGTCGTTAGGCGCGGCAAAAGACCTGATTCGATTGCTTATTGTCGAAATATATTCTCGCTGGCGAAGTTACATGGTGGCTGATGAAGAGGAGGAATTAAGGCAGCAAAGAGAGGCAGAAGCAATTGCAAAGGAAAACATGGCTGCACTGAAGACTGACATGAACGTAGAGATGGAAAAGATAGAAGCAAAATATGAACAGGATCTTCTGTGCGCCTTTCAAATGGTGACGAGCTTCAATGACGCAGTCAGGTTTGATGAGCACCGACAGGTGCAAGATTCTGTAACTGATACAGGCGTAGCGACCAGCATTACTTTGTTGGAAGAGCGTGAAAAGATGCTTGTCGCTCAACTTTCCGAAAAAGAAAAGGAAATGATGCTTATGCGTGTGGAGTTAAACCACTTTCAAGCGTCAGCGAAGAGCATGGAGGGCAAGGAGAAATCCTTGTGCTTGATGAGCGTAAGATATTGTTTATGTGGTTAATGTTTTGAACCTTCTAACGGACTGCTAATCGATTCTGTTGTCAGCGATGCGAGAAGATTCGGCAAGAGTTAGGCTTGAATGACGAAGACCAGACCAACACGTACCAAGATATTGACGAACTTTTGATAAAAAAATGCTCTCAAGAGCTAGAAGAACTTGAAGCTGCCAGAGAAAAGCTTCAAGCTCGAATTCGCGACGCCTATCGTGTCATCAGTCGAATGGAAGCGGTCCTACACGTGACCGATCCATTGGATATCCAACTTCTTCCTTCAGTCGCGGAAGGGACACTACTTGAACAAGAGAAATATCTACTTTTGCTGCAAAAGCGTTTGTCGAGTGAGTTGTGGGAACGCTTAAGTACTCGTATTCGAACCTTTGAGGTTATCATGGAGCTAGCGTGGGGCCTTCAGATTAGATCGACAGAAGATTTTCGCCATGTTCCTAAAGATGACTTGGACAATTTTGACGTGCATATCATGAAATTTGAAACAGTGGACTTAGACGTTTGGAAAAGCTATTATAAGAGAAAGGACTCTGCTGATGCGCTTGACCAATTTCTGGATTACCTTGGTGAGAAGGGCGAAGTATCCCGTTCGTCTTTACAGCAAGACAAGCTTCTTCATCAAACTTTGCTGAAAGAAAAGACGAAGCGAATTGCAGAGGTGGAAGAATATCTAAAGGCTATTAGGACGTTGGCGCGTAAATCTCATTTATCACAAGATGATATCATGTCGGTGGTTTACGCTATACGCGATAAAGAGGGTTCTCCTGACGGCACAGTGGATAGTACCAACACTGTGTTTGAGGATGTTTGTGCTCGAATTCTGCAGACGGGTGGTCACCTTGATGTCAGCAAGCGAGGGTTGGAAGTTTTTGCAATGGTGCTTCGAGGATTTGAAGAGGTTCAAGCAGGACGGTTAAATGCACTGGACAATCTGTACAGAATTGTAGACGAAGCTGCAATGCTGACACAGAACGCAACTACCAGTGGTGCTGTGGACGAAGAAGCCTTAACAAACCATCACTACTTTAATTGTTCGCGGCCTGAAACCCCACAAGATGATGAAAACTTAATGGACACTCTTGTTGCTGGCAAGGGGATAATTAGCACCTTGAGTAAACCTGTAGAGAGCTCATTGCGCAGTCTGTTTTATTCGATGAACGAGGACTTAGCATCTTTTGGCATCGACACAGAAGAGCAGCGCATGAGCTTTTATCTAGGCTGCAAGGGCGAGGATCAGACATCCCGGCGCGCCATACTGAATAAGTATGCAGTGGTGCCATGCATTGCATCAAGCGTGCAAGGTGAAGAGGACGTCTTGGATTCAGCAATTCAGGAAAGACCGCCAAACTGCAGCGATTCATTTCTGTCCAGACTTGATCCCGAATTCGAAAAACTACACGACACGTACTCAATATCGTATGGAGATCAGCAGTTGTGGAAGCTTCGCACCTCTATTACAGACAAGCAAGAAGTGGAAATTACAGTGAATAGCGCGCAAAATCGACTGCGATCGCTGCAGAAGGTCATGAAGATATTTAGCAAAATTAACGAATTTAAGGGCAAGATTGCTGAATTTGAAGCACACGCAAGTGAGAAAGACCGCTTGTTTGGTAATTCACTCAGACTGCTAGAAGAAGAGCGTTTTCGCAAGATGGCAGCCAAGCACTACCCTAACTTACTAGCGGCACTTCGAAAAGAAGTATCGCGCTGGCTGGAAAATGAAGATGGCGAGTATGATCTTAGTGTACTTGGCGAGGACCTTAAGAATCTCTTGTTGGATATGATGAACACTGACACAGGCCTTATGCACCTGGACTTGGGAATTGTGCGTTCTGCGACGAAGCAATCCTTAATATCTAGCTCAAGCAGTTGCAATCCTCAAGCTACTACCCCAAGCTGCGATCAACAAGCTGCTACCGCTGCGAGAGCTCGTGGTCAATCGCTAAGTGGGCACAGTCACAGTCAACGAGCTGGAAGCCTCAAATTCGACCAGAAGTAAAACCAATTGACGATGATAACAAGTATTTTTGCAGTACAATAACATAGAGATAGCGTTAGACGCTGAAGCATAAAACAAGGCATTTATCAAGCAGTTGAGTGTATTAAGGTTCTTTGTGATGAGAGATTGCGCCTAACACTGCTTCTAAGTATGCTTGGCACTCTGTGTTTTGTACTTTTGGTACTTGCTCGACAGCTCCCATCCCAGCCCGACGAATACGACGGCAACACCACACCACGACATGAGACTGAGCTCGTGACCATACCAGACCACTGAGAACAAAATCGTGAAAAACTTGCGTGTGGTGGTAATCGTAGTGCACGTGAGTGCTGAAAATTGCTGGATAGTGAAATAAATGAAGTTCTGGCCCAGTGAGCTGCAGACGGAGAAGTAAAAGACAGACTTAAGAATAGCTGGATTCTCTATACAGAAGAAAAAACCTTCAAATGCTTGACCCGTGACCAATGCACCCAGTCCTGTGTAAATGACGGCCCACAGATTGGTATTAAGCATTTGCTGATGTACCGACGGACGTAATTGATGGGCAATTTCCTCTTGCTTTGGCCCCGATATTCCATCCAATGTCAGTGATAGAAAAAGCAACAATAAACCATACGTACTGTTCTCTCGCTCAATATGTTTCGTCGAACCTTTGCCCAATTGAAAAATGGCAATACCCGATGTAATGACCACGACACAAATATAATCACGTACTGTATATTTCTTACGACGTATCAAAACGCCCATAAGCATCACAGGTATCATTTTACATGATTTCCCTAAAGCTTGAGTCGGAAAACTCACGTGTTTAAGTGCTTCATTACTAAATAACATTGCACCTAAATAAGCTGCAGCAGTAAAAGCAAATGGAGCTAAAGGCATAGAAGTACGTTCAGGTTTCCATACAAATGTTGCACCATATGCTACTAATGAGTTTGTAACACATTGAACAAACAACATAAAGAGTGTTGCTGTAAATTTGTCACCACTAGAAGAACGGTAGGTAAAGCTACATGAATGAAAAATACATGGGACAAATCATACTTAGTCTGACTTACTACTACTACTAATAATAATGTTTAGAATATTCATTTTTCTAAGTATGAATACTACAATTCACACGTACATGTTTTCTTGAAATATCCCGTAACTAAGGTAACATACGTAGATACCACCAATGCAGATCGCAAGGTTTAAGATGCTCGAACCTTGAGGAATTGGAGCGTACAAGACTGTGCGTCCCATTGTTATGAGTGACAGATTTTCAAAAATGACAATTTAGCTACTTCACATAGGTACAAAAAATTAGAGGGCCACGTGGACAGCTTTGATATAATGTCGCACGAAGGTGAGATAATGGTTTTATTGCTTTTTTAAGAAATCTCTACATTTTAGAAAATTTTGCATCATATCCATAGCTTTAACACGTTAGATAAGAATGCAAAAACACAGCTACAGTATCTTGCATTGAAAGGAGCGATTATAATGCAATATCACAAAGATTAATGCAGTGATATAGTAGTACTTGTAATTGTCAGTAGCTGGCAGGTAAAGACTGACTTGCAAACCTGTTGTCAGCTATGACAAATATTCGTACAAGATTAGCATTAACTCAAAAACAAGAGAGATATTAAACTAGGATCATTCCGCAACCTAGCGCTTTAGCAACATAACTTTCACCTTGCAAAACACATGATAATTCTCAAACAGTTTAGCCTTTCTATATGGTGCTGATTGAAACACAACGAAACAAGCACGTCATGCAACAATCAACACGTAGGTCGGATCACTATCCTGATCAATACATTGTAGCGTCGATCATGTGGACGATGAAGGGACATACATGAAACGATTGGATTAACCTCATACCCTTGGGATCCCGCAACGTCCTATCTCATAAAGAGCTGTTGCTGGCGGACGGAATACACCTTTGCGTCCCGCCGCTGGGCGATTGCTGTCCTTCTGGCCTCGTGCTCCTGGATGCTTGGGCATCTCCCTGCGCAGCCAGTACCCTACGCTTTGGCAGAATCCGCTCTCTATGCACTATTTTCTGTCATGGATCAACGCCGTGGGCATGATTTGAAGGGAGCACGGCAGGACCTGGGTCGCCCAAGACGGCTCAGTTCACTGCCGCCTGCGACCTGACGCACACTAGGACTGGAATGTATTGGCATTTTAATGGGAAAGTACCTTCGCTGGAGGTTTAGAAAGACGTGACGTTTACGGACACAAATCTGAGGGACATTAGACTCGTCTTTGAAGTACACTCTAGCATCCACGGGTTTTCTTGGGCACGTCTCGGACGATCCCAAACGACTGCCTGTTGGTCTACCCCGTCCGAATGGCGTGCAACCATTGCAGACCGGACTTGGGCAAACTTTAGTTGCTATCAATCATCTTCTTGCGACCAAGGCGGTAGCGGAAAGCTGGGTGACTTGCTGGCAGCATGAACTCATGGACCGGGCCCCTAGAATCTGTGGGCTTATCTGCACGGGGATCGCCTTGACATAACGTTGCGCCCGCCCTTCGACGCTGGCGTTTTCTTCTGTAGAATACGGATATACTAGAAGACCGAATTTAACAGTAAAGAGACGTTATGAATCTCTTACATTTGCACAACTGAAAACAAGGAGAAGAAATTACTTATCGGCGCTATTGAAGGACTCAATCAAATTAACAATATTGCATTGCAGCTTGCCAAGGGACTAGACATGTTACAACGTCAACATTGACAAGTTTGTAAGAGCTTCATTAGAAGAGTTTGAAGCAGGTATTTTTTCTATGTCGCTGACGCGTGTAAAGTTGCTTTGAGCTGACATTGACTGATGTGCGCAGTATCAATCGATATCTGTTTGCTGCTTTTTCACTATCAATAAGAAGACAATACAAAACCACAACACAAACAGGTGGATATGCTGGTAAGTTATTTACAAATTGAACAAGATCGAGGTACGATCAATCGTGTAGTAATCCTATCTCTGTACAACAAAATACCGGCAGTCCTTGTAGTTTTCGTATTGCGTCGTCTGTCTTCTGACCTAGTTACGCTTCTGAGTCAGAAAGTAATTGTAAGTCCCGTGCCCGGTAAAACTTGTGCTTTAAGAGGAAGCAACCGCATTCACGGACAGATCTGGATTGAAAACTCCGTTATAAGCATCGTCCGTACTCAAAAAACGTGTGCTGATCATTAAGCAGTGGAGCCATAGTGAACGGCGGCATCTGATCGACGCAAGACTTGTCAAGAAGCTCTAAATTGCCACATATGATATCAGTATCTTCATGCCACAGGTTTCAGTCAGTGCCTTCGGCTAAAAAGGTTTCATCTAGTGCTAGACCAGCGACATTCTCAAACGTGACTCTTTCTTATCACCTATCAATTGTTCCAGCAAGATTTCAGCATATTTGTGCGGTGTAGCCGTGCTCAATTTGCTGCTCATCAAAAGAACACTGGCCTGAGAAGGAATAGTAACACGCTGATTGAAATACTGGTCGACGCCGTAGCTAATTGTGCTGACTTGGTAGTCTCCGACAGCAAGTCGATCGCATTCAGCTGAAAATTCCTTCGTGAATGCACAGTAGAGAGCGACCACCTGATAATATTGTCCACTTGATATGCGCACTTTCGTAAACCGCGAAGTCATCTCTGAGATAGATGGAGTTGGTTTTTCCCACATTTCAGAAAAGACAATGAGGTAGTTAAGTAGCATCGTGCGAATCGCAGCGTCGCTGGCCTGAGAATTTCCGTACTCACCGAGAGACTTCAGGAAGTATGTCAACACGTCGATATCGTTGAAAACGCAATGCTTCATTCTGTAGGCAACAGCGGGGATCGTTTTTGGGCGGGCCAATCTCCACGATTACATATTCATAGAGTCTGCCGCAATACAAATGAGGATGAAGCGTTACTGCCTGCCCAAATGGCGCCTTTTAAAACATCAGCACATGCCGAGTCTGGTTTTTCATCAAGCTCTGTTATCAAATCTTGAACTGTGTCAAGTAAACTCTTCGATACAAAATGATCGCTGCATTCCTTTACCGTCGAGCACAAACCCAAGAAGGTATCACCCACTTCTCCTATACCGGTGTCCTAAACTGAAAAGTACGGGGTTTTGTCTGAAGGCGCGCCTGAAGTAATGGATATGCCATCCATAACGTATCCCGTCACTTGAGGGGGATTGAGATGCATCAAACGTTCCATAAGGTAGGTATTATAACCCAATCCATATACAATGGTATCCATACGTATAGTTACTATACATGTTTGCATATTATAGGCTATAGAGCCAGTAAATAGTGACTAGCGCTAAGTATAGAGTAGGTGCTTCTATATTTAGTGCAAGAAGATAAACATATATAAATCCGATTCAAACCTGCTCTGCATAGCATACGTGCAAGAGCGTTCTCTTCCTTTGGAAGGAAGTTGTATCTTTGGTACTAGTCTCTTGGAGACGTGGTTGCTTGCAACCAAAGGCACAAGCTTGCGAGCTAGCCTTGGGAGTGTTAAGAGCCCTAAGACACACAGCTCTTGATGCTAGTCTTCCTATGCACAAAGTGCATAAGTAGCTTTGCTACAGTTTCGACCGTAACCAGCACGAATACGTTGCACCCAAAACCAGGCTTATGATCGAAAACGTACTGGATTTGGATGACGATAAAGAAACTGAAGATCATTGTTGGCCATCATCTCCCACGAGACCACGAATTGGGGATGGCTGCCTGCTTAACGAAGCAGTGGTGGCATATGCAGCAAAAATTGGTGACATTGCAGATGCTCCCGAGACGTATCAGGAAGCTATTGCGAGCGCTGATTCGTCGCATGGATCAAGGCCATGGAAGAAAAACTGAAGTCGCACTTTTGAGTTCTACGTACAATACTTTAAAAGCCTTTTGTACGCAGAATTCGAAAGTGCACGACCAATAGGCTGTCCATAAATTTTCACAAAAAGGCGGAGCGAAATTGGCACGATAATTAAGTACAATGCAAGACTCGTTGCGAAATGGTTCAAGCAGAAGGCAGGTGCATAAATTTTATGCAACTTACTCACTGAGGGCCAGCCTACAATCTAATTGAGTTGTGTTGGCGGCAATTTTGGTGGAATAATATGTGTCCGTACAAATGAATGTGGACACCGCTTTCCTTAACAGCGATCTCAAGGAGAAGTTGCACATTACATTGCCACGCGGATTCTCTGCAACCAAAGGCATGGTGTGAAGCTGGAGAAAGGCATATATGGACTTAAGCAAGTGTAAAGCGCATAGCACAAGACTTTTCTGCCCTTGTATAAAGATTGGATTTCAGAGCTGCGGGGCCGACCAATGTGTATATGTACAAAACAATCAAGGCAACATAATGTACGTTTGCCAGAATGTCGATGACATGATTATAGCCTCCAAAACCAATCAAGGGATCGCTAAGGTAATGAACGCGTTTTAAGGTAAATTCATAAATAGAAAAACGAAGACGACCAAGCTCATACTGGTAATACAAGGTCTAGCATAACACCAAGGCCGGCACCCTGACGATCCATCAGATAAAACGCATAGATGGTGTAGTGCAAAGATTCGACCAACAAGATGCGAAGGCGTTAATAAATCCCTGCAAAACTGGCTTGAAGTCGAGCAAGACGCAGTCACCGACCAAAAGTGCTGAGCAGTAAGATATAGGTAAACGATGTTACAGGTCGCTGATCGGGTGTTCGTTGTACATCATGACATGCACCCGCTCAGGCGTGGCATGCATAGCTTAGCTATCAAGGTTTTTGGACAATCCAGGACAGCAGCACTGGAAGCAACATATTTAAGTGGTTTGATGTCTCAAGATTTAGCGAGACATTAAAATTTGTAAGACCATACTAAGGACAAGATAAAACTGGAGACCTTCGCAGACGCTGACTGGGGCAGCAGCATCAATAATCAAAGATTGGTCTCCGGCATCATGGTCTTGATGGAGGCGGAGAAGTCGTGTGTGAGTCAAGATTGCTGCTGACTGTGGCACTGAGCATTGCTGAAGCAGAATATTGGGCACAGAGTATGTGCGCGTAGGAATCGCGCTGGGTACGCTTGATGCTCTCAAGGTCCTAGCACATGAGAAAGTGGGAGCAATCGAAATGTGGAAAGATATTCGAGGAACAATCGCATTGGCAAGGAAATTCGGATACAACGCACGAATAATATCAACATCGCCATCACTTCATTCGAGAATAATGCCGTAAGCAGTACGATTCCAGTCAAATACATCAAGGCTGAGGATCAAGTAGCGAATATTCTGACAAGAGCGTTAGGGACCACAAGTTCCTGTGCGAAGCAAGTGGAGTCAAGGCCTCGACCACGTTGACCGGCGGTGAGTGGGAGTGGTGACAAGGTACACCGCATGTTTATATTTATGGACATACATCTATGTCGGATATTGATCATCGGTTGTGGCGTACTTCCTTGAGGACATAAGGTAAGCGTATGTTACCGTTTAGGTGTGGTGCAGCTGTCAACGGGTGAGACTGATTACCATAAGATCACCACGAGGTAATAAAGTTACGTAGGTATGGTAACGTTTCTTGTACGATGGAGACGGCTCGTAGAAATGAGGCTTCGAAGCAACATAGTACACATGAGAACAAAGGACCCACATCAAGTATATCACTTGGAAAATTGCCTTTAACTCAGCAAAAATGGGCTACATTACTTATCGAGTCAAGTGATTTGCTCGCAGTGCATATTTTCTTCAATTGACTTAGTTTTGAGTTGAATCTTAATGCGACAAATTGGTTTCGATCAAATATACGACGAACGAGTGATTCAGATCTATATTAACATATAACTGAAGTCAAATTCTAGAGATAAACGTGCTGCAAAGTGGTTTTAGGCAACGTTGCCGCTTGTACACGGATCCCATAGCAGTCAAGCCACTAAGATTTGAAAATGAGTATGAAACGTTTACGAAACGACCTTAACTGTACCCTTACTTTAATTACATGTACTATTACTACTTATCTGAAGCCGAGATACTGTAGCAAAGCTACTTATGCACTTTGTGCACAGGAAGACTAGCATCAAGAGCTGTGTGTCTTAGGGCTCTTAACACTCCCAAGGCTAGCTCGCAAGCTTGTGCCTTTGGTTGCAAGCAACCACGTCTCCAAGAGACTAGTACCAAAGATACAACTTCCTTCCAAAGGAAGAGAACGCTCTTGCACGTATGCTATGCAGAGCAGGTTTGAATCGGATTTATATAATGTTTATCTTCTTGCACTAAATATAGAAGCACCTACTCTATACTTAGCACTAGTCACTATTTACTGGCTCTATAGCCTATAATATGCAAACACGTATAGTAACTATACTTAACGAAGTACGATGCGACCCTTCGTACCTTAGGTACGGTCACATCGAGCCTCAAGGTACATCCACATCACATTGGTGTAGCAGGTGTGTTTCTACAACGCACACCTTCGTGTAACCCCGTTACACATGTAATGCGGTTACATCCTTACTTCGTGGTCAGTTTACAAGCAAATTAACTTCAAACAAAAGACAATAATTCACTCTTGATATGTGAAGGTCGACTCGTATGCTTGACGCCGTTTAAAGAACGAATATAAAATGCGTAGTACAAGGAGAGAAAGAAGCAGATCCGTTTATTTAACGGTTTTTAAGTAGCGAGATTAGTTGACAGTTCCTAAGCTGGAAGACAACGCCGGTGCTATGTCGAGTCCGGTAATTGCTCACGGCTGTAGGTGTCCACCTGTGGGGGCGCTCAGGAATGTCAGGCGACGCTTTGGGGCACCGTACGAGATGTGTGTGCCGACACCGTAGCGCCAACTCAAGCCGTAGGTGCAAACTCCTACGTAACCACTTGCACGATTTCTTTAGCGAATCTGTGTGTATACCACAGTAGTGACGCGTGTCGTGGGTGACGGCGTCAGCTGTACTAACCCCCCCCGCGCTCGCAATCAGTACCAGCGAGCGCAGCATGCCGGAGGCCGAATTTTATCCACTTTGACTCCCAGAAGGGAGGATTTCCGCTGGGTGCATGTGATTGGTTGCCTGTGATGAGACAGATGTTGCACATAATGAGGAGTTGTCCGTGATGAGGGAGGGCCCAAGGAATGATTGGGCAGGACGATGTATTTTTTAAAAATGAGATGCCTAATACAAGGTCTTGCCGACCAGATGGCCAAACGCCAAAGAAGTGTAGGCTAAGTCAATCAATTTTTAAATGCTGCAATCGTCAAGTCTTTCCATGAGACTGAATACAAGACAAATTGGTAGGTCAACACGTGATTATTTTGGTTTATGTGCCTGTGTGCTTAAATGCAGACCTTTTTTCTTGCATTTCGATGCTAAGACATTCACAAGTCGTTAAGTGGCTACAAGGAAAGTCTGAGTGGCTGCCACGTCAACTTGTCATCAAAAAGGTGCCAATTACTGTCGAGTTTGGAGCTTTAATGTGCTTCCAAATTAGAAAGAAATAAGCTTATCGTTCGGCATTCGGTTAGGTTCAATCCGACAGCATACTACGATGCAGACTATGTCGAAGGTTGTGACGTTAGAAGCGCTGGTAAGTAGGATGCTACTCATATTGTATTGTACTACTTGAGGTGGCCATTTACAAGTCAGAAATGGTCAAGCTGTGCTTTTAGCAAAAATTTCATCACATGTTTGCTGCCATCTGTGTTACGAATAGTGGCCGCAGACGGCTTATGAGTCAGGCTATTGTACAGGCATTAAAGGAATGAATGCAGTTGGAACCTTAGGCAAATATAAATAATGCGAAAACTTTGCGCATGGTGATCATTATTATCATTGATTCTGTTAATCTTAGTATACTATTGAGAAGGCAGCAGTGAATAAAAGTCGGTTGTGCCGTATAGTAAGAAATCTGTATAAATATTGTCATACTAGTAGCAATGAAAGTTGAATAAGCTATGACAATAAATTTAATTGTTCAATTTAAAATATAGTTTTTGAGTGTGCTATTATTTGCTTTTGTAGGACAAAAGCTTCATTGTGTTCTAATTATCCCGACATCAAATACGTGATCAGTATTCCCATTAGCATATGACGAAACTGTTGCTGTTGAACAATTAGCATCATCTACCTTCCGTACCGTCAATAGGAATGTACCAGCAGTGCTTAGTTGCAACACCGCCTATCGTGGTACTAGCGAAATCACGTCCAAAATACACCCACGAAGAATCCGCCGTGTGGTATTGAAGCTTAATCCACTCCTTCGAAGCCTGTAGCGACATAAATCCATACTCACCACTCGTGTAGGTCCACACATTTTTGACGTAACTAGCAGCATAACGAGGAATTCCACTAGCACTTTCACTCTGAATACCACCACCCGCACCATTCTCCAAACAGTGAATACCCAACGACGCAGAGTAGTCGTGTTTCTCGCCATGAGTGTGGCCGTTCAGCCACACTCGGACACCCAAGCCTCGCAAAGTGTTAAACCATTTGTTCATTCCGTTCTCTCCGTAATGGTTGTATGAACTGTAGTGGGGGCTGACAATTTTCCAAGTAGCGGTCGACTGCTTTACCTTCTCTGCCAGCTGAGTGCGCGATTCGTCGCCCCACCTACTGAACTTTGCCATGCAGGCGTCAAACATGGATGTGTCACCACCGCAACAGAATTGATGGCCACGGCCGACGTTTCGGCAGGTAGCACTGTCACCATTCGTGTAGCCGTAACATTGGCAGCAAACTTGCAGGGCACCATGCACATCAGCGTTGTTCGTGTCCACATTAAAAATGTCGATACTTACACCCGTTGCAGGATCCTCAATTCGATACAAGAATCCAACGATTATTGTGTGGGCTCACGTAAGAGGATTGCCAATAAAACTTATTGTCAATACCCTGGAGCAAGGCCGCCGTGGTTAAGCACTTAGCATAACTTTCTTCATTGCTACAGATGTGGCTAGCACCGCCACCGTCGTGATTGCCACAAACGTTCACCCAAGTAGTATTTATAATATATATCGTCGTTAAATTTTTCCTCAAACGTTGTCGCGAAGCGCGAGTCACGTTCTTTGAGACTGTTGATACCTGTCCAGTAAAAGCTATCACCATGTTCCATGATGACCTTCGGCGGCACGGAAGTTTTACCCGCCTCAATGTTCATTAAGCTTGCAACAACACTCTCGGCAGTCACGTTGAAATTGTTAAAAGTAGATGAGCGAGAGCAGCACGACCCTTGATATGTAGTTGTGCCCCAGTCGCCACTAGCGAATGCAGAGACAACGTACGCAGAAGACTCCGGATTCGACATTACTGCCGCGTCCGTGACAGCGCCAAGAAGGCCCATATAGACTGCCAGGAATTTCGGATGTAGCATTAGAAACGTCTTTGTATGCGTATGCTGTAAAAATTGAAGAATGAATAGAGAGCGATGAAGTTTCGGAACAATTGTGGATTAGATTGTATCGATCCCTTGTGTTAAGAAGTTTGGCAATCTGTATTTTTACATGGCCAAAGCTATCCCATCTAACGCATTTGTATTGCCAGCTGTATAAAAACTCAGCACCACCGACTCGCAGGACAGATTAAACATGTAAAACCGTAAGCTCAAGCCAGACTTCAATATGAATAACACGTATTCGTCTACAAACGGACGAATGGCCTATGAAAAGTTTAGCAAAAACCCCTTAAGCAATAATAATCAACAAGCAAAATTTGTTTCGGCCATTCTCGAGCCGTCGGCGCTATCCCAAGCTAAAAGCAACAACAGCAGATCCATGTTTAATTTTGTTTAAGCGCTTTAGTAATCACGAGACCTTAGCGGTCTCCTAAATATTACACTCAAGGTGTTAGAGCCTAGGCGGACATACACACCTGCCACACCAATATGGTGTGGCTGTGCCTTGAGTACAAAGTAGGGTTCCAGAAGAACGAAGGGTCAAAGAGCCACGTGGTCACTATACTTACTTAAGTATAAAGACTATACATGTTTGCATAATAATAAAAGGCTAAAAAGCCAGTAAATAGTGACTAGAATTAACTATAGAGTAGGTTCTTCTATATTTAGTGTTAGAGTATAAACATACATATAAATCAGTTTCAAACCCGCTCTGTAAGCCTTACTGCTTGAGCTTTCTATTCCTCCTGAGGAATCGTATCATTGATACTAGTCTCTTTGAGACACGGTTACAACAACCGATAGGCACAAGCTTACGAGCTAGCCTAGGAGGTTTAAGCACCCTAAGACGCAAAAGGTCTTTGAGCTTGCCTTCCTCTGCACATAGTGCATACGTAGCTTTGCTACAGTAGTTTGACTACTTCTTCTGCACATAGTGCATAACTAGTGTGGCTACAGTAGCTCGGCTACACCTGGTAGCACTTGTAGTCAATCCCGCACCTGGTTTGCGACTACTTCTCTGTGTGAGAATGGACATCGATGAGATGTCAGCGATTGACCTGTCACAGGCACAACAGGAAGGGTTGCAAAAGCTGCTCCACATCCTTGGCCCTAAGGGCGTGGAGTACCTCATCGCCCAGGGCAAAGAAAAGGTTAACAAGCGTATTCATATGCTTGATGAATATAATAAAGCTCTAGTCGAGCATGTAAAGGCACAGATGCCTTCTTCTTCGCCTTCGCCCATGTCAACTATGGTGCAAGAAGTGATCCGCAGACCAAAACCAATACAAATGGAAGTCGATAAGTTCGACGGCAAGGAAGATGACAACCTTATGCTTTGTTTCCAACAGGTCGAGTCGGCTATGTTTAGCCGACACTGTTGTTGATGATGCGCATCGGCCAGACAACGACACACGAAAGGTACGGTCTGGTAACTAACTGTGCGCCTATCCCATGAGTAATACCACTAGCGTGGATTACTCATGAGCGACAATTACATGAGTCATGTGTATCGTGTAGATTACTCATGTGCGGCTATCCCATGAGTAATGTGTATAGAGTTGGCTACTCATGCGCGACTACACAACGAGAAATGCGCGTAGTGTCGATTACTGTTGTATAGTCGAAGAATCTACTAGGCTCAGAGTAGCAAGAAATGTTGCGAACTAAGGACGTAACATATATTCACTTTGCATCTTACCAGGCTCAAACAGCTACTTTAGACACCACCTATGAACCGTACCATGTGGGCTTTTCCACGGGCAAGTTAGGTGGCTTAGCCAAGCAGTGGGCATTCACATGTGGTGCATCATTGCAAGATGCTTTTCCCACATGTGCCGATCTGAAAGTTCAGATGACCCGGCAGTATGCACCTCCAAACCAAGCACACCGTAATCGGTCGCGGATTTGGCGTGTTGCCAAGGCAAGCGTGAGCTTGCGGCATATGTACAAGAGTTGAGAACTCTCATTGCTGCCATGGTCATAGACCCTATGCCTGAGGCAGTGACCGTCACGGTCTTCATTGAGGGCCTCCGAGTTGGCGTTGCCAGAACGGAAGTCTTCCGGGTGAACCCGTTCTCATTCGAGGAAGCTGTTGGAGTGGCATGGAATGTCGAGACCAACTTTAAGGCCGCTTGGCCTGCCACTTATAACTACTCGTCTGTACCCATGGACTGAAGTCAAGTTGGAGGATGAAGAAGAAGGAGCTGAGCTTCAAGATGCGGATCAGCAAATTGTGCGCAGATGTTACATCTGCAAGAGCGCAGGCCATTTGATGGGAAAATGTCTGCAAAAAAGGCATAGTTGGCCTCGAAGGGCCGACGCCCCATGGGTAAACCCTCTGGTTTGCCGCGGGGAAACGGCGGAACCCAGTAGGCGCGTCGCGTCCTACTGGGGAAAGACTGAGTTTTGTTGAGCCTCTAGGAGGTAGAAGTAAACAGGGACCAGCTCCAAAGAGATCCAAACTATCAAAAACGGAACGAGAATGCAAGCCAGGCTTGCTAGTCGTCGAAGGGACGATTAAGGGCTTTGATGAGTCATGATAGCGCGCAGCATCGCAACTGTTTTGTGAGCAGGGATGCAAGCATATAATGCTTGGTCTGTATGAATCGCTACGCGCAAATACTATAGGTGCAAAAGAAGCAAGTGTTGGAAACAGTGAAAGACTTTGTAAGCAATAGATAGGCACTTAAAGCTTAATGATTAAGTACTAAGGGCCTCAACAGCTTTTGCTATGCACTTAACGCTTAAGGAGCAAGAAACAGGCTTTTGGGGGGGGGGGGGGGGGGGGGGGGGGGGGGGGGGGGGGGGGGGGGGGGGGGGGGGGGGGGGGGGGGGGGGGGGGGGGGGGGGGGGGGGGGGGGGGGGGGGGGGGGGGGGGGGGGGGGGGGGGGGGGGGGGGGGGGGGGGGGGGGGGGGGGGGGGGGGGGGGGGGGGGGGGGGGGGGGGGGGGGGGGGGGGGGGGGGGGGGGGGGGGGGGGGGGGGGGGGGGGGGGGGGGGGGGGGGGGGGGGGGGGGGGGGGGGGGGGGGGGGGGGGGGGGGGGGGGGGGGGGGGGGGGGGGGGGGGGGGGGGGGGGGGGGGGGGGGGGGGGGGGGGGGGGGGGGGGGGGGGGGGGGGGGGGGGGGGGGGGGGGGGGGGGGGGGGGGGTGGCGCAAGTGCTGAGCACTCTAATAATTAAAAAAACAAAGAATGAAGTCGTTGGAACTTCACAATACGTGGAGTAGAGACGAATAAACAGGAAATTTTGCATTTAGCGTGGAAGCACTAAAATTTTAAAAAATTAGCTGCACAAAGTACAAGTTTCACCTCTTGCAGTTTAGTCAATGCAAAAACATCGACGTTTTCCTTGCCTTATAGAGATGAGTATTTTGATCGCCCAAATTTTTACTTACTGAAGTAAAGGGTCGGCGTGGTAGTTGACATGGTCTTCTCTCTACAAACGAAGCAATGAAGTAATAGTTGTGGTCGTACCCGTCTTGTAAGAAATTTCTTACAAGGGGTAAGGTTATTATTAAGAACAACAACAAACGTGTGCTCGTATCACGCTTACCTGCATTCGGGCTTAGAACTTTTAATGCGAAAACGGAACGCTCGTAAAACGCTCAACCTTCATATTTTTGTTTCTCGGTGCTTAATTATACATCCAGTATCAATCTCGAAAACACCGGGTTCCACCTCGAGGAACCGCGGTCCATCGGCCCAAGCGCAATTTACTTCTTTGAATGGAGCACGCTTAAACCGTACAATCTCCTCATCCAACAACCGTTCCCCGTCCCTTTTTAGCGCTCTGTCTCTTTGTCCCTTACCCAACGGTCAATCCTCCTTGGCCGGTCCCCTTCTCTTTGACCCACCTGTCCCCTGACCTACCAATTCTTGAAAAGCTTCCCCACATCAGCAGTATGCTGAAGCGCTTGTAGCGCGCAAGAGTAACACGGTCACAGTTCGCTTAGAGACGGGTACGCGTGTTACGGTACCCAACGTCCCGATGGACTTAAATGTAAAGTTCTTGGACTTTTACAATATGGATCGCTGTTTGGTCTTAGACCTGGATGCGAGATATGACCTCATCCTAGGCATGGCATGGCTAGAACGTCATGAGCCATGGATTGTTTTGAGGTCGAAGACCTTAGGCGCAACGAGCAATGCTCCTGGTGGGGCTCTGGAGTCATGAACCCACCTCTGCTAGGAAGCAAAAGCGCTTTTGGCGGTAATATTGGACCGAGTTGGGCAATATGTTGGATGTCGGAATATCCGACTTTGTAGACAATGTAAGTGTCGAGGACAATAGTCCTGGGCGATGCCCAATGACTGTCGATAGTGTGGTTGAGAACCCACTAGACGACACAAATGACATGTGTCATGAAAATGTGATACATCATTGTACACCGTGAGTGGTGGTGGTGGCTGCAAGCTAAGATGTCAGGAGAAGAGTCTGAGTGATATTGGTGAAAAGGTACTGAACCTGGAGGGTCGTATGAAGTCACTATTAGATGTTGTATTCGTGGATACGAGGTGCAAGCACCAAGTAACGAGTTAGTAGACCAAGAGCGTCGGGTGAAGTCTGATGACTGTTGTTTATAATAAGAACGAGGTTCAAGCACCTCATTACGAGCTATTGACCCAAGACGGTGGATCAGTCAGTAAACAGATTTTTCTTTGACCCTGAGATGTTTTCACTGTGTACGCTGTTGCGTCGGATGCTGAGAGCATCATAATTATCGGTATATGTATCGTGAGTGACGGCGATCGCAAACAGCTGTATGCACTTGTCAATGGTCTGACTGGCAATGTCAAAAATCGGGGGATCTTCGGCAATACCTCGTTCCCTTTGGGGATCCCGCGGATCGCGATAGGAAGCGCGGCTCCCTAGTGAGGATCAGTCGGTTAAAACCGAAAAATGTTTATTTTAAATCATACAAATAGTACATTCAAGATCAAGAAGTTGAAGGATTCGCCGAAGAAACAGTTGCGAACACCAGAATAGGATTAGGATGATTTAGTCAAGTTATCCGATCATGGCGATCCAGCCAAGTCTGTGGATCAAGATAATCAAATGAAGCTGTTGGATCAGGCACGTCCGTTCAAGTTTGTGAATGACAGCGATTTTAATAAGTCGGAAGGATGACAGCTGGATCAGGTAGCCCACAAATTCTATTAAAAAATTGAATGCGCTGTTGCTATAAAATTTTGTGCTCACGATCATGGAGCCAAAACTCATTGGAGCGTTGAAAGATCCCGTGATGACACCGAGATCGATGAAGAACATTGAACGAGATTCTTCTGCTAATACAGCTGTTTCACAGATGTTAAATTCACTGCTAAACCGTTCAAAGCTATAAAGACTTAATTGCGATCACGATCAGGTATCGACGCAGCGCGATCGCTATTTGAGAAGTTAGCTCCTATGACTGGTGTGAAGAGGTCGACGGATCACCTGACAAACAGAACGAGCAGTATTCTGTGCTTGTTACTTATGCTTTACAACGTAGCTTGTGATCTTGTTACACCCAGACTTCAGATACACACATCAACAATCGGTTATTTACCTTGTAAATGTGGTTGTTTGAATACGCGTCCACGCTTTCACAAGCGATGCACTAAGCTTGCCGGAGTATTTCTATTTGCAAGAAGTTGTGAACAGCCATGACACAATCATCGAATCAATCAAAGACTCCAGGAAAGCAACGCCTTTCCGTGGCCTCACAAGTATAATATAAATTTCTAAGGAGGAAGAAGCGGTGGACACGAAAGTCACATCATCTTTACCTATTGAGAAAGCACATCATGAAGCTTTTTCTTTGGCCTAAAGAAATAACAAAAAAGTTAATGAAAGTCAATTTACCCAAAGAAATAATAAAGTTCATCTAGCAATGTAACTAAAAAAACGATTATTAAGTATATATTCCTTCGGCCTTTTACCGTGATTCTGGTATACAATCGTTAGATTTACGGTGTTAGAAAAAATTCTGGTGCTTGCCATTTGCAGACCCCTGGCCGGACGCAAACTCTGATAACCCGCAATTATTCCGCACGCTGTATCATTCGCTCACTACTTTGAAAGCTGCCCTTTGACACAAGTTCATATAAATAGTGTTGGAATTTCGCCTTTAAAGCATTTTAATCTTGTTTACCCAAACTTTGGAGATTGGAAGCGCTGACAATTATTTGCATTGCTAAATTCTGTGTGTGCTACACCACATTTAGCAATTGTGTAAATATGATGCTAGTAAAACCGCGCGTGCTTCTATGTGTGGCTATGCCAAGATTACGTATAAGTCGCTGGCGATCGACATCGCTGCAAATCTATTACACCAATCCAAGATGTCATGATTTTCGAGTATTTTCCATGCTTATATCGTCCCGAGAATCTTGTACACAGAAATCTACTGTCCGGACATCGAAATTGCAAAGATTAATGAGCGAGGTGTCACCGAATGGCCCTAAACAGCAGCGAAAACAAGAAAGGGAAAACGATGAAAGGACAGCCGCAATGGTCCTGAAAGATAAGCTAAAGAAGGATCTGAAGAGAGCAAAGAGCCTTGTATGTAAATGCCATGATGTTTTTTCTTAGGTGAGAATATTCCTAATTATGAGGTGTGTACATGGCAGGCGATGCACCAAGTTATTAACGTTCCAAACGTTATCACAGCTGCCCGAATTTTTTCCACGCCCTATCTTGTGTATCTTATTGTCCAAGGAGACCACGTCTCAGCTATCGCTTGTACGGCAGCGGTGTAGATGCATCTCGATATGGTGGAGAAACTAACAAGGCGTACATTTGGATTTTTTTATCTCGATTATTTTGCAGTGCTAGCAGCAGCTGGAGCCTCCGACTGGTTGGACGGATTTATCGCAAGAACCTTCCACCAGGAGTCCATTTTGGGCTCGTTCCTGGATCCCTTTGCAGACAAGTTGCTTATTGGCGCTTTGTCTTTCAGCATGATGTGGACAGGGCTGCTTCCATTGCCTTTAGCTGCGCTTATTTTGGGTCGTGACGGAATGTTGATTGGAGGCACGTTTTACTACCGATTATCGACGAAAGAGGAGTCTTCTGGTTTTTTCGATACGGCGGATAGCGGATCTTTTCAAGTTAAACCGTCCGCCTTAAGCAAGATGAACACGGCACTTCAATTAGCAACCTTCGGGTTTGCGCTGACCAACGCGGCATGGCAGATGCCCTCTGACTTTGCGATGAAAATGATTTTGTACGTGCTCTTTGCATTGTTGTATCAACCTAAGGATTGACAAATTTCCATGCATATGGGTCATGTATGTTAAGCGTCGTCGTAGGCACAACAACATTACTTTCAGGATCTGAGTACTTATACGGGTATTTGACGAAGACAGGTGCTTTCAGACCTTTGCCAAGACCTGTCAAGCGGCCACTTTGCAAGGCGGTACAGCGCACCGAGGCAGTTGTTAAGCGCACTAAGGAGGTAATGGGGTCCTCTTCTCATAAGGTGGCCCCGCATACGAAGGGTCGGCAGAAAAAGTAGGAAACAGGGTACCAAAGAGCATTAATAACTTGGACACGAAACAAAAGGTCCATTGTATGCATATCTTTTCTCTTTTTGTTCACACATCGCCGTCTTCATTTTTGCACGCAACCCTCCATGCAGATGTCTAGTAACGAAAGTAAAGACCAGTATCTTTGCGCGTTTCGTCCTTTTGAAGCAAACCAGTCTCGCCTACATCTCGCAATATCTTGAACCGTTTCGCATCAGCTTCGTACTCTTCAAAGGTCTTGGCACACTCCTCACCATGCTGCTCGGCCAGCTGCGTATACTCAGCCGAGCACTGCTGCAAGAATTGCATCTCCTCGGCTGTAAGGTCGCGCAAGTAGCGGGCGGGAACGCCTGACCAAAGCTGGCCCGGAGGAACTTGCTTACCGTAGGTAACGATGGATCCAGCAGTGATGATCGACTTCGCTCCGACAACAGAACCGTCTAGCACCTGCGCACCCGTGCCAATAATGCAGTGGTCCTCGATGGTACAAGCGTGGACGATGGCGGCAGTACCCACAGTTACGTAGTTACCGATCTTCGTTGGGATGTCATTGCGAATCTTGGCCACGTGTATCACAGCTTGGTCTTGAATATTCGTGTGGTCACCGATAGTAATGCAGTTGACGTCACCGCGTACCGTAGCATTGTACCAAATAGAGCTGCCCTTGCCCACCTTCACGTCGCCAATTACCGATGCATTAGGAGCCACAAACACGCCCTTTCCAAATGTAGGCGAGCGTCCGAGGTTTTTCACAGCACGCGTCGAAGGGTTTACTGTTGTTTGTGTATAACCATACAGTTAAAAATTGTACGAATTAGATAAACCAGAGCAAGTGTTGTATTTTCATTCTCTCGCCACCTTTCTTATCGATCACGATAAATTACTTACAGTGCTCTGTATAGGTATATTTTCCCTCCAGCAAAATACCGACGCGATCAATCGTCTGCCCTAGTGACCGAATGGCGTTGCCTGCCTGCTTCGCCCACATGCTTTTCAAGTGATTGCTCTCTAAGTTGTGTGAGGCCTTACGTTCGTATCAATGAGGGAGGTTTTATTTGTGGTGGACACTAATTGTGTGGAATACTAAAAATTGATTTATCTTTTAAATATCGTGTTTAATTTATAGAAATCAAATCGTTTCGAGCCATTTTTGCTTTTGTTTTCATCATGGAAAACACCAATTTAAGTCACAATGAGCGCCTGCGCGACTTTGATTACTCTGTGCGTGTGAACCTGTCCAACAGTTCGATATGCGGCGACCAACAGAGGTCCGTAGTTATTAAACTACATCTAGAAAAACCTGACGGATCCGAGCGACAGGTTGGTAGATGACGCATTAATAGACAAGATAGTGGACTTGACTCTATTTTGTACCAGGTGGTGTTGGAGCTCGACGACAAGCAGCTTGCTCTCCTTCTTCATCAATTTGAATCTATATATCACCAACTACAAGCACACCAATAGGTTGAAGCCAAAGCAAGAAAGCGCTGGTGTATATTCTCTCACCTACTCCATCTGTTGGCTCTAATGAGCAATTACTGTCGCACTAACAGATTCCGTCTCTCAGTGCCGGCATCGATCGATGCCTTGGTCTCATGACATCACTTGACAATATATTGACTTTACTTGCCAACCTTATCCAAGCAGTTCCATTTCCCTATAGGTCTATAGCTTAGTCATCCATGAAAAAAAAGTTGCCCGAGGTCTTCTGCTCAACATCCTTAACAGAGCCGTACTTGTTAATACGCGGGCGATAATTCGTAGGATCCCGTCGGAACGTGATCTCCAGCTGCTTCAAAAATGCGTTCATACCCGTCAGGAGACCCTGAGGTGCATGTGCGGTACACTCGATACCTGGATTGCCGTCGTAAACAACCACGCGATCGGCCAGGTACGTGGCCATAATAAAATCGTGCTCCACGACAAATGCCGTCTTCTTAGCATGCAAGATAAACCGCTTAATAACCTTGGCAGCCAAAATACGCTGCTCAGAATCCAAGTACGCAGACGGCTCATCAATTAAGTAAATATCTGCGGGCTTGCCTAGACACAATATAATAGCCACTCGCTGCAGCTCACCGCCGGACAAATGGGGTACAGCCTGATCTATAATATTGTCAAGGTTCAGCGGCTTCGTCACATCCGTCGCAAACTGCGGATGCACAATAGCCTCACGAATGCGGCGGTGCAGCAGCTCACGAACTGTACCCTGAAACTTTGGCGCAATCTTTTGCGGCTTGTAGCTGATCGTGGACGAGTCATAACGCAGGGCGCAGTTTGACATAGCTACATCATCATTAGACTTCTCGGCAGCTTCCATCTCATCAGACTTAAGTAGACCAGCCAGCATTCGAATAAATGTAGTCTTACCCGTACCATTCTCACCAAGCATACATATAATCTCTGAGTTGGTAAAATCACCAGCTTCGACGTGCAATTTAAAAGCAGTGTCATTTTTTTTCTTGTACATCGTCTTCGTCATCGCCGGGTAGTTAAACGAGTTAGCATCGCCCTCGTTGGTGCTAAATTCGTCGGCGTTCTGCGAGACCTTGAACGTTAGCTCCTCAGTGCGAAAACGCAAATTTTCCGTAGGTACGAAACCGGCAAGAAAAATGTTGATACCTTCACGCACACTGAACGGCATAGTAACCACACCGTAGGCTGACGGCGTACCATACAACACGCAGATAAAGTCGGACAAGTAGTCCAGTACACTCAAATCATGCTCGACACATATTACGTACGAGCGCCCGTTGTCATCTACCATTGAGCGAATCACGAGAGCAGCCTTAAGACGCTGACGCACATCCAGGTAAGACGATGGCTCATCAAACATGTATATGTCAGCCTTCTGCACCGCTACGACAGCAATTGCAAAACGCTGCAGCTCACCCCCCGATAGGTTCTCAATCTCACGGTCTTGCACATGCGACAAATCTAGTTCCTTCAAAAAGTGGTCCAGCTTTTCCTTCTTGTCGCAACGAGCAGACAAAATGGCGTGCACCGTGCCTTTGACAGCCTTAGGGATCTTGTCCACATACTGTGGCTTGGTGATGGCCTTGAGGTTGTCCTCCAGGATGCGCGTAAAGTAATTTTGCAGCTCGGAGCCACGAAAGTGGGTGAGGATCTCCTGCCACTCAGGTGGGGCATCAAATTTTCCCAGGTTGGGTTTAAGTTTTCCTGCCAGAATACGCAGTGCCGTGGACTTGCCGATACCGTTCGTACCAACCAGACCTAACACCTGGCCTGGACGAGGCATGGGCAGACGGTGGAGTTTGAACGTGTTGGCACCGTAGCGATGCGTCGTGTTGTTTTCCAGATCTTTGGGCAAGTTTATAATGTTAATAGCCTCAAATGGGCACTTCTTGACGCAAATACCGCAACCAATACAGAGCTGCTCTGAAATATAAGCCACCTTGCTCTTTGGACCTACTTCAATGCAGAGCTTGCCCATACGCACCACGGGGCAGGACTTTTTGCATTCCTGACGGCATTTCTTAGGTTTACACTTGTCTGTGCTGACGATAGCAATGCGCGTCAACTTGTCCGACATGTTAGTCAGTAGCTGTACTAGAAGGCTTTCGTTCGAATGATCCTGTATAATACTGAAGGTAGTGGCTCTCCTTTCTTAAAATGAGAGCACTTAGGTTTTGTATCACTCAGTATTGGCTGGTTCTGTATCACGACCGATAATTCCCAATTATATCCGATTCACGACCAGTGCTAGCTAGTATAATCTTCCTATAACAATTGTATTCATAGTGATCTAAACCAAGGACGCAGCTCTATGGCTGTTATTAGGATACGTAGTAATTACAGCTGGATGTATAGAAAAAACATGAATGATTGTTTAGCTCTACTGATCTAAGACCATAGAGGACGGTGCCTCATTAGCCGCAGCACCTTTTTGCTTGGAGGCCGACACGTTGAGCTGTGCTTGATCCTTAAGTGCTGATGCCACTGGCTCAATCAGAGAGATATTTTGCTCTAGCTCGCGCAAGTCACGTGCTTTTGCCTTCGCCTTGCTGTCCTTCATGCGGTTCTTATAGAAAACAGCTTCGCGTTTCTCCTTAATCTGCGCCACACGCTCAATGGCATGAATTGTAGCGCCCATAAGCTCACGATCATACTTGACAGCACGGTGGCGCTGCTTGTCAAAATCAAACGTCGTGTCCAAAGCCATCTCTTTGCCTGCTGCCTTGCGAAAGGACTTGGTCCATTTCACCTTGCGTGGATTACGCTTGCGATTAAAGTTCTTGTGACATTTAGAACGACAGAAACGGAATATCTTGCTGTCATTGCGCACAAATGTGATACCGTGACCGGGGTAAACGGGACTAGAACAAAAGTAGCAGGTGTGAATACGCATTGTTGTTGTCTAACTTGCTTGTTGCAAGGTACAGTTCCTACTTTGGATGAAAAACTTGGCTAGTAATTGGATGGATGGCGAGGACCAAGAAACAGCTTTAGCTATGTGGCCCACATGAACTTGGTTCTATGCTGCTGCTGCTTAACGATTTAATCACAGCATTTAGATACATTTAACCTTTGCTCATGTAAAAATATACGCGCTCTTCTATACGTTAGCTATCCTTAACTAAATTGACTTTGTTCGTCAAAAACTTGTCCGCGTGCTTGCAGTACAAAAGCAGCTCAAGGCCACATATCTTCAATTCAGGGCACTTGAGACATAAACTAACATATGACGACATCCTGCTAAAGTCCGTCTTGTAAAGATTGTTGTTCAACCATCGTCGTCGCCCCATCGTAAAGCGTGAAATTCACCCACCTTACTTTTTCACACGTGAAGCCAGAAGGTCGCTCAGCTCCATCGGGCCTTTAGTCTCAGACTCGCGTAGGTCGTCCGCAGTTAGCACGTCTTGCTTAATCTGGATAGATGCCTCCTGTTCAACAATAGCGCAGTGCTGCTTAATGCGCTCCGACACAGCCGTTAGGTTCAAATCCGTCACGTCAGATACGCTAGTATCGCCTAAATTAGATTGTAATGCTGCGCCGACTACAAGACCTGACTGTGAGCGAGCAGAGACCACCTCGTCCTCCATTATGTCATTAAACATTATTTGGCCAGGAGGAGCGTTGGCTTGATCAAACGGGGAGTGATTGGGTGGCAATACCTTTGGTGTGTTTTCAAGGCTGGTGTAGTTGCCACGACCAGTGCCTGGCGTTTCGATGCTGACACTTTGCGGTGTGATGTCTCCAGCGATGAAGCTCTCATTGTCAGCAAACGTACTCTTACGATCCAACCTTTCCACCGGTCCGGCAAACTGGATAGGGCTAACCTTCTTATCGGTGGATGCGACATCGCTACGTCGTTTGCGGTTCAAAGCACTAAGATACGTGCTACCGCGCTTCTGCCGAATCGTAGCTTCATCCATACTGAGCATGGCAAACTCCTCAGCTTCCCCGTCGCTGACCACTGCGACTCCAACGCCCGAGTGTACTCCTGTGCTCGAAAACCCGAACATTTCTTTGAATTTTTCGGAATGTCGCTTGTTTGCGTTAGCCTCGGGATTCCGGTCAATTTTAGAGCGCAGCGTTACAAACCCAATGACAGTCAAGGCAAGCACCACAATGCCGCCTATGATAATGACACAGAGAACCTCCGTCGATAGACCTGGGCTATTTGGATTATTCGTCGATGCGGAATACGGAGTGGCAGAGGTGTCACTTGAACGCGACAAGATCTGCACTTTGAGATATACCGCGTAATCGTACCGCTTGGACGTAGGTGAATTGCTAGGCACAATCAAGTGGGCCAGCAGGGCGTAAGTTCCTGAAAGGTCGAAGGACAGCTCCGACGAGTCGAACGCTGCCAGACCGTCCGTAAAATTTAGCGGAATGTTGGTCGTGTTTTCTGTCAGCTGTGACCCCGTCGTCACAGGGTGGCAATCGACGCCGATAGAGCATGTTCGCAGGCGCGAAGCGATAATCTCGTAGTATTTTTGCGAGATACGGTCAAGCCCGGCATATAAACCGGTCACATTAAAGCTGTTCGTCTCGAAAACGCCGTCCGGTTTGACCCGCTTCTTGGCATTCCATGAAATATGCACTGAGTCGTACACGTACACGTCCTCCGTCGGAAAGGTAATAGACAGCTTCAAGGGACATCCGTCCCCCACCGCACTCACCATTTTCACCGAGGGGTCCACTGTGTTGGAGTAAATAGACGAATCTACTTCCCAACAATACGTCGTGGCGCCATCCATTACGTATTCTGACGAGGTAGAGGCCATCGGCGTCGCCGCACCGACATCAACCAGCAGTAAAATCGCTATCGTTGGCAGCCACCCTGAAGAGCTCCAACCGTACCTGTTGACACTTCTGTCACTACTCCGACACCTAAATGTCTTCGTCATTGGTCTTTGCTGCTTATAGTCACGCTGCTGCATGAAGTCGAAACGCCAGTTCTGCGTCTAATCGAATGGCTTTTAATGTACTTCCTGTGGAAGTTCCTTTTATTCAAAGTTTGATTGTTCTCTGAAATGTCGCCGCCTATGTGCAAACGCACAGCCAACGCTTTGCTTCTGCTTCTATTGGAAGCTTACTGGGCTTCTAACGACGTCATCGTCGCTCGATCGCCAGGCCAAATAGGCTCCCCTACTACACTTGGTTATTCTGGATATAGGGTTAGAGGTAAACATTTGAAAGCAGATGATTGGACAGTGCAGCCTAAATCCTTTCTTTTTTACGTCAAAGAAAGCTATGATTGGCTGGCACTTATCATAGGAACAGCAGATCTCGTGGCTTGACAACCGTCTGGTTTAATGATGCTGAGGAATGCTGGGCAGAAATGAACACATGTACATGTTCTAACAACAGTGTACATGTTGTATGCACGTCTCTTCTCTTGCCTGGTCTTACAGAAGCTAAGATGTTATTTTGTATTTGATTTTCTGCGTCGTTGCTACCTCGATGCCAAAATTGCTTTGCAATTCATTTTTGCTAGTGACGGCCAAGTTTGCTTATGTTGTTAATGAAGACTTGTTGTTTAACCGGTATTTTGTCTCAGGATCACATTAAGGCAATATTTCGGGGCGGACGATCGTGTCGCAGCGCTCACAATAGGGGCATAAGAATAGAGCGTCGGGATTGCACATGCACTGCAATATGTTGAGCTCAAATCTCTTAGGCATGCCGAAAACGCACTTGGCCGTACAGTATACTAACCAAGATCAATCGTACATCAAAAGTGGGGTGGCATTATACTTTCAATTGGTGGAAACAAGAAGCTCAACTATCGGAAATCAACGGCATGAGTTGCAAATGTCGTTTCATGATAATGTGCCAGTATAAAACAATGCAGGATTCCAGCTATTACGACAAATCTAGCATCTTCATTAGCGGCAGGAAGGTCAGACTTTGGATTGCGCAAAATTAAGCAAAGTTGATGTTTTTAAATTCAACATATGCTTGATTAATTAATTCGCCTGCCGCATCGAAGCTAATATGTCTTCTTACAAAATCATGTGACGCAGAAAGAAAGTGTGTCTATTTGGGGTTATTATCACTTTGTGGCTCTTCAGGTCGTAATCAACCAATCTGACGCCTAGGTGGACTGAATAGACCACCATAGGCCGGATTCCAATTCAGAATGTCAAACGATATTCAGTCTGAACTTCAGAACTTCTCAACCATGATGAGCGTTTTTATTGTAGCAGCACATTGTACGGCAAATGCGCTGATAAAACTAAATTTTGTACATATGACGCACTTATCCTTCATATAGAGTCGAATAATAGTCTCAATGTAAGATTTCTCAGGCATGATCGCTGAGACCTGCGGTTTGGTAACTCTTGCACAATAAATACATTAGAAAAATGTATTCGCTTATCAGTTTGTAACAACAAGAAAAAAAACGGATTCATACGTTCAAACAACATTTCGACCATTTCAACCCATCTTGGTGGCGCGGTAAACAAAAAATTTGGCGGGAAAAAACATCTTGCAAACAGCAGTCAATAAAAAGTCAAAATGGATCGTAAGGAACTGGCGCTAGAGACAGAGCTGCTGCTGCAAGGCGTGACGCAGATTACACGACGTACGGCGGTGGAAAGCGTGGTAGAGGATGTCAATGCGCTGCCAATTTCCGAGTACGAAGCTGCTAAAGACGCGCTGCTGGCCAAACTGCGCAAGAAGAAAGAGGTTAATTGGGCACAGCAACAGCAGCTTAACCAGCGACGGTATGGTCAACCATTAGCGCAAAGAAATGATCACTTGTCGCCTCGTAAGACACGCACGCAAGTGCTACAGCTTCCGGTGGCATTAACGGCGGCCACATTATCCAGAAGGAAACAGGATATGCTGTTGAAGCTCAAGACGCAGGCAATTGAGCAATGCGGGCAGAATATGGCCAAGCTATTTGGGTACGCGAGCTATGAAGAACACATGAAACATTTGAATAAGCTTGAGAAGGTGAAGATTGCTGAGAATGAGATGAAGGAGAATCTTAGACAAGAGGGACAGGGGCAAGAGAACGAGCATCCCAGGATGTTGATAGAGATGAGTGCAGGTGTTGCAAAACAGGAAGGATACAATGATTTATATGCTGAAATAGCGGAATCGTTCACGAAAATGACGGATGCTGCTTCTGAGAAGACGACAGAAAGTGATGAGCAGGAGATCGTGAAGGTGGTGAGACGATGTAATAGAGTTCAGAATCCTGACGTCAGTGAAGAGGAAGACGGCAATGAGGCCGACAGCGAGATGGATAGAAAAGACGGAGACGATGCTAAGGACGATATGGAAGACGTCACCGGTGCAGTCGAAGTCATGATCAACACGCGACAGGTAGAGCAGGATACGGCAGCGCCAGGTAAAGAAGCTGTGACGGTAACCGTGCCGCTAAAAGATAAAGCTGCAGGATACCGGAATTTGCTGCTTGTTGAGGCAATACAAAGCCGTAAGCGCAAGCGGCTAGTTAAAAGCCGTGGCGACAACTTCGTCGAGTCAGAAGCCGAGGAAGATGAAGAAGAGGATGTCCTTAAGATTGGCGGTTTGGGCGATTTTGGTTTTGGCGTGCCGCAAGTAACGACTCATGAATCCAAAGAGGCTGAGGAAGAGCGCAATGCGCTAAAGCTTCGCGAGGATGACCTGGACCATATCGTAGATGACCTTTCTGACGATGAGCGAGCGCAGGAGCAAGACTTGGAGGAAATGTTCCGTCGTGAACAAGAAGACCAAGATCGTCAGCAAGTTAAGGAAGTTATACGCAACGTGAAGGAAGGTTTTGGCCGTAACCGCCGCGCATTTTCGAGCCTTTATTCGGGTTCGGGGGCCCGTGGTCGTTTTAATCTGGATGAGCTCGTTGCCGCAGATGGTTGTAAGTTTGAAGCTGCTCGACTAGGCCTGCTAGAGTCTGATGAGGAGCTGAGTGAGAACGATGATGGCAACAACAAAAAAATGAAAGCTAGTGGTAATAGAGAGGCAGAAGAAGACGAAGAGGCTGAGATGGAGCGTTTGCTGCGTGAGCGTTTCCTCAACCAGCCCAAGATGTATATGACTTCATCCGAATCCGACAGTGACAACGAAGAGGAAGAGGTCAAGAAAGAAAACGGCGCTGATGGTGATGAAGTTGAGTCCGACGACGAACGAGAGCGACAGCAGATGAAGATCTTCTCAGAGCGTGCTCGTGTTAATCGCCGCATGCAGCGTATGAAGGACTTACAGCGCCAGATTGCGCTAGACAACAATGAAGTAGATCCGACCGTGAAGATCAACGCGGCAATGCCAAATCTATTGCTGGAGGAAGACGAAGACTCACAGGAGTTAATGCTTTTGCTAAACCGTACAGACGTTGATTCTGCGTGTAGCAGCCAGACAACCACCCGTTATAGCGCTAAAAAAAAGTCAGACCGACCTCGCCTGAAGCTTGGTCAATCGAAGGCATATGGTGATATGACGTCTGCGTCTCGGACGCCGTCCTCGTTCAGCCGCGTGATCGGCCAGTGCAAAATGTTCAGCGCCAACTCGGTTAGTATCGATTTGTCAATTTGTAACGTTTATTAGTGCTTGAGACTCACTCACACTTGTGTCTATTATGATCACGCTTGATAGGCTGGAGGTTCTGCACCTTCCAAAGGTTTCGTTTTTACTTCTTTAAACGCTGACAAGACCAAGGACGGAGGCTATGAGTACGTTGCACCAAACGACGACGAGGCAATGCCTGCTGCTTCTCCCGAACTTCGTAAGTGCAAGGGCTTAAATGGTGTAAATTCAGCATCAAAGCATTGTGGTGCTCGAAGTGGTAGCAAGATGACAGCATCGAACAAGAAGCGCAAAAGCGGCGGGTTATTTTCCGCACTGTCTTCGTATCAATGCGTTACAAGCACAAGTCATAGTCAAAGCTTGGAATCGTGAGAGCGTCCATCTAGACCTGTAATTTTTAATATTTGGCTGAATAAGTCGTTGTTTTCAAAGAAAAAGCGGGTGGTTGTTTATTCACGTAAAACCCACTTAAAAGTGAGTGCTACATACAAGACAATTGCCCAAGTTTTGTCTGGGAGTTAGCGCATTCCAAGTCATTTCTCCTCGTGTATAAGATGTCGTCAAGCGATAGTAGTAGTAGCAGTGGTAGTAACAGTATTGAGCTTGAGATGTACAACGATACGCGATATATTGGCAGTTCCTCCTCCACTTCATCCATTGATTCCACGACAATTAGTGGACCGTATCGTGTGGGTAATTCAGACGGAGATACGTGCTCGTACCGTGCACCAATGCCAGGAGAGTCCTGTCGGCAGCCGCGTACGTGTTACGAGTGTCTGAATTTGAACGTTGTGGGAATGAGCGCTGGTTGTTTGTTGGCACCCTCGGGCTTTTGTGAAGACATGTCGAGCTACGAGACCACTTTAGACTTTCGCCGCAATACAACGGGTGAGGATATGAGTCTCACGGGATGGTATAACTATTTTCCATCAATTAATACTACCTATTGCGAATCGTCAGACAAGGCATGTATGCTTTGCGATGAACTTGTGAACAATGGCAGCTTGAGTCAGACTTCGCACTGGAACTTACGGACGAAGAACGTTTCGACAGTAATAGAGCGGCAATTTTGTCGAGGGGATAGCGGATGCGTCTGCATCATGGCTTGCGAAGCGATCCATTGGAAGGCCAACATGCCGGCGGAATGCGACACCAGCAGAAGTGCGTCGGACGACAACAATGCGTCGTCAGCAGACGCAATAAGTTACAGCTCTATGTTGATATTCTATCTCGTGCTACAGGTTGTTCTGCTAGCGGTGTCTATGTACAAACGGGGACTTTGCAGACGAACAGCTTCACCACCGCGTCCAAGACCTGAAGGCCCGTACAACAATGTAAACGCTATTTCATCACCGTCGAATCGATTGCGGCTTTCAGGGTGGAGGAAAATGCAAAACTCATTGATTGAGCGCGAAAAAATGCAGGTTGCTAATCAAGAGCCGCAGTACATGTCATCACCTCGAGTTGAAGCGGCAAATATTCTGAATGAAGCTGACACATTGGCACAGCCACTGTCGTCTCCAATATCAGCTCGGAATAGTGAGACGGTAGAAGCAGCGTACATGCAGGTGAAAGATGATTCCAGGAGACAGCGAAACAACAGTGTCTCCGGTACTCATCAAGCAGCAAGTGTTGATAGTGATGTTGTTGTGGTTGATGGACCTTGTGACGAGACGATGTCAGGTACAGGAATTTCACGAAGTGAGCGCACGTTGTCCTTCGTTGCAATGCTTGAATCTCGCCGCCACGCCGCATAGATGACAATTCTGTATCTCTGCCATTTGTACACTGGTAAAACTCTTTTGGGATATGGTTGTGGTTAAATTTTGGATGGTTAGTAACTTAATGGGCAGCATTCAATTTAGTTTGTCAATGAGTTCACAAGACTGTCTTTATCATTCACTCATATAACTGCGATACTATATTAAATAGGGTCTTGGAGTGATATTATTAAATCCAACAGTTTATGACGCATAGGCAATTACAACCGATCGCGATATTACGTTAAAGAGGTCCATAGCTAATGGCGACAACATAATTATTGTATTGTATTAACCAATCGTTTAGCTGTTACTTAGCTATAGCATCAGCAAAACCTTGATTGAAGCCATTACTATAGCGCCATTGAAAGATATACAAGTAAACTCTCTTTCAATACAAATAAAAACTTAATTGTTATGCATACATCTCATCAGTATCAAGTGCTGCTCATTCAGTGGTACACATAATGAGTTTAGAAAGTTCCATAGCTGAGTACTACGGTTATAATTAAACCTGCTAAGTCCCGTTTGACTCGACAAAGCTGTTGCGTGCGCTTATGACGGCAAGCTCAACCGAGCTGATGATACCTGATAAGACTATAGACGCTTCATAGAGTCTATAGTAGCATGATGTCCCGGACGGGTCTACGATTTAGCAGATTTTTGTTTCTTCATATTGTCCGTCAGTGTAAACTGTCAGCTTTGTATATAAAATTTTGGCATTGGTTGGTGATATCACATCGCTCGTCCAGACGAAATAAAGATGCTAGCTCCTATTATGTCAAGAAGGCGTGTTACTCTGTTCATGCATCGTATTGGTGAACTCAAACTAGTGAAGGGTAATATGGATATCGATATCCAAGTATTTATAGAAGCTAGTTGAGCTGGTAGATGCTAGCTCGTAATCAAAATGGAACGATCGTCTTCTTTGATCGAGTTTTAATATTAGAACTAAACGAGAATAACACAAAGTAGTGCCGGATCATCATTGTTCATTTCTCCTTTAAAACACTTGTCATAGGTAACGCTACGTTAATTTGACGATGGAGACGGAAAAGACAAAGATGCTGCGTGGAGAATTATACTTTTCAATGGATGCAGCGTTGTTTAAAGAGCGTCAAAACACTCGCAAGTTAATAAAGAGAAATAATGAACTGGATGAAGCCGAGAGTCCCGAAGCCCTGACAAAACTATTTGATGCCAAAGGCAAAGATTGCTTTATTGAAATGCCGTTTCGCTGTGGTTCTGGATCCAATATTCGGGTGTTTATATGAACTTTAACTGCGTTTTATTAGACGTGTGTAAGATCATTATCGGGGATCGTGTCATGTTTGCACCAAATGTGCAGCTGTATACGGCCACCCATCCACTAGGACCCAGGGCCCGAGCATCTGGATACGAACTGGGCAAACCGATCGTTGTTGAAGACGACGTTTGGATCGGGGCAATGTCGTTGTCGTCCCTGGTGTTACAATTGGTCAGGGTGCAGTCATTGGAGATGGTAGTGTGGTGACGAAAAACGTGCCTCCAATGTGTGTGTATGCTGGAAACCCGGCCAAGTTTATCAAGAAGATCGAAGAAGAGTAAAAGATAATAACAGCGATGTCTCTAGTATGGACGTATGATCAGCGAGAAGTTTTTTCGCGGCTACGCATACATTTGCGGATTTACGTGTAAGAACCAGTTTCGAAGAAGTTTGAAGGTGCATCTAGTTGTAGTTAAACTTAAGAACAACACAGTTGATTGTCGTGGATTTGCTAGAGCTCTATGGACACCACTTTGGACGTCGACACTAAACAAATAAGCAACTTACATGAACGAGTCAATATCAGTCAGTCTACATATCTGCAACGTGTTGACACTGTAATGCCATGAATTTCGCACAACTAACAATAAGCTAGCAGCTATAGCGAGTAAAACATTTATTATAGAATCCACAAACAAGCAATCAGCGTCTATTTCTTGTTGCTTCATCCTACTGCACAAAACTAGCTTCCTTGTCGGACAATGCTGCAGACTTAGCTAGCTGGTCAAGCAATCTCTTGACACTCTTAACACGCTTCTTTAGCAATGAACGCACCTTCGGATCACTTTCGCTGCGAAAGTTTGTCAGGTGCTGATGGCAAAAGACGGCAAGGCCGTCGATTGTAAGCTGCGCTTTCTTCGTCTTCAGTAGACGCTGAAATACCTGCGCCATCTCCAACTCACTTTCGACCTTAAGGATCTCTTCCATTATAATCCGCAGAAACAGAATGCCTTTTTCCTCCAACTGAGTAAAGTCCAGTATCTTCAAACACGACAATGACAAGTTGCTACTCAGCACTAGCCCAGATAGCATTTGAGCCTGGTTGTATAACCTCCGCGGCTTCAGCGACTCCATCTGCCTGAAAATGTCCCAGAAGGCCAGTTGAAAAGTAAACTTGTACCGCGGATCCATCTCGCATAGCTTCTCAGCCAACACCAGGTAAAATTTGTTAAAGTTGCTTTCTTGGCCACAGCAGTGCAATATCACACGAACAATCTCGCGTTCCTGTTTCTCCTTTAGATGCAGCTGCAAAAGTCGCTCATAGGCGTCAAAGCAGTCACTCGCTCCCATGAGCGCCACAAATATTTTCTTTCGGACGTCTGTATTCATATGCTGCTTCTCCGCCAATTGCAAAAGCCGGTCTGTCTCGCGTGCAGTTTTATTTGCGTCACCGTCGTTTGCCACCTCATTTGTTGATTGCTGTTGCTGGTAGCCAATCCAAGTACCACCGACGATCCACCAACGACCATCTTCGTCGGCCTTCAGCAGCTCGTGCAACGATACACGCAGCGGGTTGTTAGCATTTCCACATCTCGACTTCACGCGGCCAAGCCATTTCTTTAGCATTTGGAAGTCCATTGCACCTCCACTGCCACTTCCAGAGTTGCGGCCTTTACTATGCTTGGACGACTTTTTAAGGTTGTAAATAAGGTCAAGAATAAAGCGAACACGTTCTTCATGTTGTTTTCCACCATTCGCTTGTAGCAACTCACCCACCTTATGCTGCACAGCAGCAACCATCTGCCGCAAAGCGTCCGCATCATCCGCTCGAAGCTGTGCACCACCAACCTTCAGAAGCTGATGAATGAGTTCAATGTCTGTAGACGAAAAACTGTCCACGAACGATCGAAAGAGATCATACACGAGTGTACAGTGCACAATTCCAAAGTTGTACAACATCATGACAAACAGCATCAAGTTCACAGGCACTCTCGATGTTCTACCGTCGCCGTCATCTTCGTTGCCGTACTGTGTATCTACAAACTCACTAAGCTGCCTTTTCTCCTCTTTCATACTTGCCGTGAGTTTACGCACAAACTTTTCAACAAAAAAGCCTCCCACTTCACTGCCAACGCTGTGGTAAAGAGCTGCCACCAAAGCACTGCCTACCTTGATTAGCGGCAACATAACCTGCCGAGGGTGACACGTCGTCTGAAGTAGTTTTTCCAACAAGATTTCATTAACAAGCGATCTGCCATTTTCTCGATATATCCTCTCCATCTCTAATGCAATTGACCTTAGTATTCGTCAAACAAAATAGTGAAAGCATAGACAATTAGTGGTCATCAAGTTCGTATCCAGAGCAGCCATATTGACGTACTCCATGTTCGATTCGGAAATGCGATTCAGCTGGCCATTAATAAGCCGAGTCAGCTCGCACATAGCCTGCTCATCCATCTGTGACGGCTTGACCTTTTCTGTTGCTGCTGCCGCGGCAGCAGCTTCTGCCTCATCTTGAAGTTTGCGGCGTAGGTGAGGAGGTAAATAAGCCGACGGCTTGTTTGACCCGTCACGCGACTTGATGACGGCCCGGCCGTAGAGATCTTCTTCGACAACAATGCTCTCCTCTCTCCATTCCTCGATACCCTCCCTGCCACGTTCTATTTCTACATTGACTAGCTTCTCGTCACCGCTCTCCTTCACGTCCTTTTCCCTTCCTCTGCCACATTCGCTCCCACCACTTTCCTCCTTATTCTCCGCACTCGTCAATCGTTGATTTTTTAAAGCATTAACCCGTGCTTCGTCTTTATCTCCATCTTCCTGATCAGAATAAAACTGCTCAAGGTCCGTGTCGGATTCAGACTCATCAGTAGGCAATTCGTCCATTCCTTTTAAAAATTCCGCGTCTTCTGCCTCGAGCAGTTCCATCTCACGCCGAGTCTTTTCATCTATTTCCATCCCGTCTTTAGGATCGCTTCCACTTTTTAGCTTTTTCCTTTTGTCGACCTTATTGTCCTCATGCTTTTCGTGCTCGACAACTTGATCGTTGCTAATAGCAGAATGAGCTGTCTCGCTGAACTTAGATCGTCCTTTTACGACTCTGCAAAAGTAAAGTAATTCACAGAATGATGATAGACTTGTTTAATTCTTGTTTTTTTCCCGCAAATTAAAACACTAACTTTGGCCAAACTTACTCGGAAATATGATCCAGTTCATATAAAAACTCGACAAAATCTTCACCCAATCCGTCATTTGAGTATTCTCTATATCACATAACCAAGTTAGTCACCTGTTGCTATTAGCAACCTTAATAAGGAAAAAAACTATCCAAACACTTCACCTACTTTTGCAATTTCTTCAGAGCTACTTTAGATTTAGTAGCTGATAGACCTAATTTCGACTCCAACGCTTTAATTTCCTTGTCTTCAGTACTCGTAGACTCGATGTCGCCTGAACAACATCATAACTCCATATTAGTCCTTACGAACCCATTTGTACCACAGAAATGGATCCAAATTATATAAAAAGAAACACTACTCTCCAACCATTTGCAGCTTCCGTCAAAAAATTGTTAAATTTGTTGGTAATTTTCGTGACTCCAAGATTCGTTTTAGCAGGGTTGTTAATAGAAATTGCACGCACATTGACGCTCCTCTTATCAAATGATACTTTATCTTCCTTACGTTGCCGCTTATTCTTCTGTCGCTTCTTGTTCTCGCGCTCCTGCTTGCGCTTGACCTTGCGAAACACGACGCCAGCCATTGATTCGAGATGGAATGAATGTCAAGTTGAAGAGCGTAACCTTACGAGGGGGTTACGGTACGTACTTTATTTCTATACTTTTCCTTGAATCAGATTTAGAAACGCAATTTCGATATCCTACGTAATAAATTGACATCAAGATGACACGACGACTTCGACGTAGCGATGGTGTAGCCATCTTTGGACTTCTATGGGCTGCATCCTGTGTCTTTCTATTAACACTACGCTTCTCTCCACGCGAATCTGCAACTTCTACGCCTTCTGTCGTCTTGAAATCGCAGGTTTTTGACGACACATATTTCATTTCTAATGCAGATCTGAGCAATCAGGCGACCCTGTTGCTTGTGGAAACACTGCCAATGGGGGGATTTTGCATTCCCCTCAAGCTTTCCACAGACTTTTGAAGTCCTGACTCGTCACGTACATGCTGCTACAATGTCGATTGATCTTAGCGCAATGTATTGGAATTTGCTAGGAGAGGAGGATCGAAAGGTATATTCCGAGGCAGAAATGACGACATTTGGAGCTGATCGAGGCAAACATTTACTATTTGCATTACGTGATGCAGCAAATCGAGGGGTAAAAATTCGAATTTTAACAACATTGGGACTGGGGCAATTAGAAACGCCATTGTTGCCGAAGGAAGTACAGATGCTCGTGGATACAGCACCTAAAAATGTTCATGTAAGGTGCTGGAGTGGTGCTAAATGGTATGGTAATGGTATTTTACATCAGAAAATTTGGATCTTCGATACACAGCATGTGTATATAGGTAGTGCCAATATGGATTGGAAATCGTTGGCTCAGGTGATGGAGATGGGGGTGATGATGGAGGATTTGACACCCAAGTCGGAGATTATTCAAGATATGCAGACGTTATTCGAAACCTGGTGGATGTTTGCGTCATCTCAGTTGTTGCCTGCCAAGACACTAACGTACTTTTCGGACAAATTTCAGCATACACTACAAGTGCCTGCGTGGTCACTTTACTTGCCAAAAGATAAGAGAATTGAGGATCCATTTGAAAAGGCTGGTTTGCTTGCTTTAGGTAACATCTCACATCAGTTGCAAACGCCGTTTAGTAGTAAGAGTGATGGGTCGACTGTGGCACAAATGTTTATTGCGGCGGCTCCGTTGGAAGCAACAGCTGCTCATTCACGAGCATTTGACGAGGATTCACTAGTGTATACAATACGGTCGGCAAAGTTATTTGTATATTTGAGTGTTATGGACTTTGCGCCGTTTTCAATGCACACGCCAGGACCTCTTCACTGGCCAGCTCTTACTGACTCGCTGCTAGCCGGGGTCTACAGCAAACCTGGTCTGCTGGTGCGACTACTGATCAGCCAGTGGCAGCATACCAGTCCTCAAATGCTGGATGCTCTTGCTACTTTACAGACACAAGCAAAGTTGTGTCAGCATATGCACGCTCGATGCTCTGGAAGGCTTGAGATAAAGATTTTTCGCGTACCAGGTTGGCAGAATACGACGTCTATTGCTGGAAGAAAAGCCTTGTGGCCGACATACACTCGTGTCAATCACGCAAAGTATATTGTCACTGACACACGCGCGAATGTTGGCACGAGTAACATGGAATGGGGTTACTTTTACACCACAGCAGGAGCAAGTGTTAACACGAACCATGAGCCAACACGAAAAGCACTCGAAAACGCGTTTGAAAGAAATTGGAATTCTAGCTACGCTTGCTTCTTAAACGATGTATTGCTGAAGCCTTAAGTCTTGCAAAAAAGTGCCATCTACGTACAAACGTAAATATTCATTTGTCTATGTGCGTCAATCCAGCATGTTATCGTTTCTCTCCCTCAAATTCACTATTTGTTTCGCTCTCGTCTACTTCGTCTTCGTCAAAATCACTCTTTAAGTCCAAGCTACTGTCATTTTCGTCTTCTTCATTTTCGTCATCGCGGACTTTTGGATTGTATACATTCACGATTTGTGCCATTCCACCGTCGACGTGAGAAGCGATATGGCAGTGTGCAAAGATATGCCCCATCATATAATTTTGCGGGGTAAACCGGATCTGCACACCTCCACGGAAGAGCGGCAAAGTGTCCCGCCAATCACCCTTCTCGAACAAAATTCCATCTGGGTCAGTGTCATCATCCATGTCCGAGACTTGAAAATGTGTCGAGTGTATATGAAATGGATGGCTCATCGTGCGGCAACCATCTGACTTAACCAACCGACGTTCCGTGCTAGTAGCATCATCCAAATCACACGTCCTTGTTGCTGGTTTCCTGTAATCTTTGACAGAAAGTTCCCACTGCTGTAATTCATTCACAGGCATCGAATAATTGATGTTTGCCATATTGAGTCTCTCATGGTTCACACCATATACAATATCTTTTTTATCCATCCACACGGAAAACTCGAAGTCGTACTTGTTACTTTCAGCAACACTTGGGGTATGTTTCGAGCTCTTAATTGTATTTTCCATGTACGTTGGTCGTTTTGGGAGCGCCAACGGCAGACGCGTGGCTACAGCGGAGATTTTGCCTTCATCCAATTCTTCATACTCCTTGATAACCTTCAGCTTCACAATACGCTGAGACGGTACTCGATGCTGGTTCACAAGTCCTAGCAGTTTATTGCGTGAGCTTGCACAATCAGTCTCAAGATAAAATTCTCCAGTATTAGCACAGATGATGGCAACATCAGCACGTCCTCCAGGAGGGATCACAATTACTTCCTTTGACTTAGGTTTGTCAAAGTAGATGCCATCCATGGCAATCACATTCAGCATGCAATTGCTGTCGCGAGTAGTCACGATTTCGGCCACATTGTTCGCAATAGCATTAACAAACCGCAGACGCTTGTATTCATTAATAGCAAGATCTACTGTGGGCAAGTATTGTCCATTCACAAAAACTGTAGGTAACGAAGTATCGTTCAGCGGGACGTCTGCATCGTTCTCGACGATCTCAAGATCTGTCGGCCAAACCTTCTGTTCGCTTTCTTCATCAGGGGTGTCCGTGTCCTTTGGAGTTCTTGCAAGTGGGCTGAATTTGTTCTCGATCGAGTCTTGAAGATTGTCAAACATATTGAAACAGTCATCGACGCAGATTGCTTGTAAAATCATTACAAGATCGTCCATCTCAGCCAACTCTGTCGGAAAATCAGCCGGTCGATCTACCACAACGAGCGTCCCTGCCATCATTCCGTTAAGTTGAGAATTCGCATTGCCGTGAGAGTGCGGATGGTACCAAAATGTTCCTGCTGGGTGATCTGGGCGTATATCATATGTGTATTTGCGTTGGCCGCCCGGTTTCACAACAGGCATCACGTTGTCCGCCTGCCCTACTGGCGGCAGGTGCATACCATGCAAGTGTATGTTAGTGTTGTTGCTTTTACCAGCTTCTAATGAGTTCGTGAGCATCACTACCAGACGATCACCGGGACAAATTTTGATTGTTGGGGCCGGTACTAGTCCGTTATATGATCTCGTATTAAAGTCCACGTAGTCGCTAGTGAACCGCTTGAGCTTTACTATCAGATTAATTCTCAGCTCATCCGGCTTGCTCTTGACGGCAAATTTATTATCTCGCCTTGAAGAGCTACTACTGCTATTGAGCTTGAGCTTAAGTTGTTTGACGCATTCGGATTCGTATAATATCGGCTGACGTAGTGGCTGGTAATCATACATTGCGGTCGTTACCACTAAAGCGATCCACAGAAGCAAAACATTAAGACAGATAGAGATAAGCATGTGATACAGGTCGAGCAACTTGAGCAATGCGACAAGAAATTTCAGGGGCGAAGATCAAAGAATACGTAAAAATTCCGTCATGATCGGCTAACATGTGGCGGCAATGATAAGGACAAAAGTTCAGTAACGTCGATATCGCTATCGACGTCAGCCAACAAAAACATAATAACGTATAATCGTCGACCATACCATTGTCGATTGGGCCGCAACGAAGAATGCGAGGCATATCGTTGACAGCTTGAGAATGTTAAATTTGACAACGTCAAAGCCAGTCTGTAGTATGATCAAAAAGCTATTTACCATGTGCTTGCTATGACATTATCAAACACTGAGGCTAGAAGTAGTTGTTAACACTATCGATAATATAGATTTTTGCTGCTTTCTTTCACGGAAAGGATCCGAATGCGTCTATACTGAAGGCTCACTAGAGTTGGTCAAGTTTTCGAATGCGGTTAAGAACAGCAAAACTTTGCGGCTGTGGCTGAAAAAACAAAGGAAGGCATCCTATTTTCGCACAAATATACTGTTCAAAGGTAAACATCACTGAGGTGACACCAAATCGGTAGGCCCCTCGACCTCAGGACCCTTGTCCTGGTCGGATGCTGACGTGACCATGGCCTACCATCGACTAAAGCTTGACGCATTCCTGGAGAGTGACCGTCACCAGAGCCCTCAAGATCCGACTGCTGGGTCAACTCAGTGGACCTGTGTCGACCCTTCCCAAGCTAAGGACGGTGAAATACGCGATCACCGCGCTCGTGACCCTTCTTCGCGAGGTGGGTATGGTCGTAGGAACGTTCAAACCTGAAGCCTTGTTTTCCCTGGGGTTCAACAGTATCAAGACCACGTTAGAAATCCTCAGTTCTGATAGTGACGGTGACCTACGGAAGGTCTACCTCATGGCTACGGAGACAAAGAAGGACCTAGGACAAGGATTCCGAGGGACCGATCCATCAGAGAGGTCGACCAGGTCCTACCCTCGACCAAGGACCATGGACCCCGCACGGCGTCAGCAACTTCAAGTGCAAGATGTGCCCATTGTGTGTCCAGAAAGCATGGAGACTTGGGTTGTTGGAAGAGGCTGACCTGTGATCGCTGTATGGAAAAGAGCCATTGATCAGATCGTTGCCTGTTCGTATGTCGAGGTTGTGGGGAAACCCGCGAGGTCGGGAAGTGTATGATGGTAGAAGTTTATAATTTGATCCGTCAGTGGTACAACCCGACCAAGCACGCTGGGATGTTGCCGGAGAAGGTCGAGCAGATGCTAAATTAGGACGCTCGCCAGGTTTGAATCTGGTACGAGCCGAGCAAGCTAATTGTTGCATTTATGCATATGTGGAAAAGCGGCCCAAAGGAAGAGGGACATTCAGGATAACTCGATAAGAAATATATCGAAGTTTGAGAGTTACCCTAAGGTCCATGTTGCTTCTTTCGGTGCGTCTAACAATTTTGTTTGAGAAAGTGCAGTGATGGAGTTGGACCTACTTCCGGGTAAGTCGAGGGGGTATTGGAAATACCATGCTCCTACGAAATGGTTTGTACAGGCCAAGGCTTCTGGAATGATTAACAACGATTGAGCTAACTTGTTCGATACTGGCGCCGAGATGTCTATTTTGGATATCGCCTTTGCTCGTAAGGTAGGCTGCCAGAGTGATGAAAGTGAGCGCCAAGAATGTGTTAGTATCGGAGAATCCGTGTATACCACGGAAGGACGCACCCGCATTAAGGTCACTCTTAACGAGAACTTGGTATACATTTTTCAGGTGTGGGTGGGCCCAATGGTAGGTCAGGATGCGATTTTAGGCATATACTTTTAAGTCCCACACAAACGTCTGGGTATCCTGGTGGGGACAACCTCAGTACTACACGACTCACCCTTTGCAACCGCTGCAAGAACACCGTCTAACGACACCGCTGCAAAAGCACCGTCTGACGATAGCCCGATGACCCTGCAAGGCATCTAGGTCCACCCTTGAAAGCAATGGTCGACCGAGGACCCATGGTCTACGCGAGGTCTACCACAGACCACCTTGCCTCAGGATCCTCAGGTTCCTGCAAGGCATATATTGCGAGGGTCGCCCGTCGCTAGTCACGTGGGTCGAATGCCACTAGGACTGAATGGCATGTCGCTGCTTCAGGCCCAAGCGGAGAGCGCGGACGACGAGCAGCGAGCTCAGAAAACGGCAACGTGTGTACAGCCAAGGGAAAGTCGGGCTTCTGATAGGTCGAATTTTCAACCAATCAGAAATGAGCCAAGACCAGTACCAAATTACACCTCGTCACGTGACGAAGTTGCTCGGGGAGGAGTGCCTACCGACCCGGTAGGTGATTTACAGGCATACTTTGACGCGATGATGGCAAAATTCCGACAATAACGCCAAGTACCTCAAACACAGATCGATGGAAGTGCGGACAGAGGACGAAAGAGGGCGCAGAGGTCAACGCCCCAGCTGGGCCCAAATACAGATATGCAAGTTGCAAGAGATCAAAGGATGACCGACGTGGAGATGGAATCGGTCGGTTCGTGTGAATACGACCCAGATGACATGGACCTCCATGGACCTCTGGCGAGAATGGCCAATGCCACCTTGGGACAGGTGCCCAACATGGTCTCTCGTACCAAGCTCTCAGCGACCTCGGATCTCAAGGAGTTTCATGGTAAAGACCAAGATGAGGACCGATCACGCAGCTGGGTGACCACTGTGAAGACCGCGTTCACAAGGGAACAAGCACCAGATGGGGAGAAGTGTCTCGTTTTTGGAGGATTATTGACTGGACCTGCCCAGAACGGGTATCGTCAACTAGGTCGCTCTGTTTGTGGAAATTGGAAGGATTTATGACAGGAATTCCAGATGCAGTTCTGTGGTTTGGGGGTTCCAGCGGCCCGCCAATAATACCACGCGAAGAAAAGGTCGGATGAAGCCGCTCTGGACTACCTATATCGTCTGAATGTCATTGGACTTCGAGCGAAGACCAAGATCAAGGATGGGCCACCCAAGATTCAAAAAGAACATGTCGAACACTATGTAGAGACCTTGGACGACCCCGACCTGGCGGAACAGTTGACCGTGTTACGTTTGGCTGATGACTGAGGCGCGTCAACGGACGAAGGCTCGGCGGGGCAAGATGTTGTTTGGGTCAGGTAAGTTTGCCAGAAAGCATTGATTATCCCTAATTGGCCAAAGGAGTTGAATCGCCGCTCCTTCCATTCAGTTTGAGCGACCCAGGAAGGATCAAGCTCCGAAGACTCCAGTTTGGATATCCTATGCCGACTATCAAAACTTCCTTTACGATATGGATAAGATGATGTGTTAAAGAGGTTTCAAAAAACAAGAAAAGCCCAAGTACCGGTATACTAAAGACAGTGGGACCCGGAGTTATAGATATCGTTGGTTGGTTGCGCTGGGTCCCTCAAGGCCTCCTAGCCAGACCTCGGTCTCTCAAGTTTAAGCTACACCTGGCCAATCAGCATCAAGAACTAGGACTCAGGTTAAAGATAGAGCCCAGGGTTCAAAGATAGAACCATAATAAATCCTTGCTTATAAGGAACTTGTATAAGTCCACCCGACTGTTCCGGAAAGAGATACTTCCCCCCCTTTCAAGCCAGAAGTGTGGTAAGACCCAAGTGTGAATAGAGCTCCAGGATATATTTGGTCTGTGGGTTCGTCTGAGTAGCACCCTCCAACTAAACCCGCTATCGGAAGTGGTCACCCTACCCTAGTATTTCAGGAGAAAGTAAAAGGCCAGGCGGTTGATATTCTTGAGATATCAAGGAAAAGAATAGGGCTAAGAATGTTCCCTGAAGCATTTGGTTATAAGTCCAGCCTCGACCAAGTCGACCGAGTGGCCATCGACCCGCCTACCGAGTGAATTATACCCACTTGAGGCACCCCAATGTAGACCTCTCTCAAGGCCAACATCGCATCATTACCAAGCCTTCTAAAGAGTGCACCGTCAACCAACGGGTACACAAGGTGAGAGAAGGTCTATATGCGGCATTAGGGTACCTCCTCCGACAGTCGGCATTCCGGCACAGTGAGTGCTTTAGGGTCTCATTACGCAGTTTTGAGAACCCACTCCACCACAATGGTGCGCGTGCCCGGATCTTCGGAAGACGCGGGATACCACCGCGAGTCCCAAGAAGACGAGGATGCTCAAGCAAAGATTAAGGAAAAGACCGAAGAGTCCTTGGAAGACCGATCTACAGTGACTACTCAAGAAAACAACAAAGGATCGAAGGACCGAGCGGACCTTAGGTGGGACCCGTTCAATATGGTCAAAGTTAAGCTTAGTGAAGAGAAACCGAAACACCATCCCTATTTCCTCGTTGAGGACACCTTGGGTCATGATATCTATCATGCTCCAGAGTACAATCCGTCGAAGGTGCAAGACGATGGGCTAGGGTTCTTGAAAAGCAAAAAAGCACATAATATAAGATCGCCATGTCTAAGCCGAGTAAATATAGGATGAAGGCGCTAGGTGACACCAAGTCGGTGGCCCTCACGACCTCAGGACTTTCGACCTGGTGGGGCGCTGACGTGACCATGACAAACAATTAATTTAGCTCGATGTATTTTGATGGGCGAGCCTGTCACGAAAACGTTTTGGATCCAATTGCACTCTTGCTGCCTAATTATTAAGTTTTGTATCTAGTTCAGGAGCATTCGACATCGCCCGGCCACGTCACTCACTCCTATATGGTGATCTATAGACGCTTCCACGCTGCAGTATCAAGCGCTTTAAGCATAATCATGAATCTACCATCCACCATCATCCTTTTCCCTCTTGCTGCCTACCTACTGAGTGTTAATTCAAGGACAGCTAGATAGACTTGTGTCACCCCTGACCAAGCTGCGTGGTTGACAGACGCGTTCACCGCGCAAGTCACCCTCCTTTGAGAGGCCACCCATCCATAATATTGCACGACGATATCAAAA